GCGTGCTGAAGAAATATACGCCCAAGTTGAAGATTGGGGAGGTCAAGGAGGCGGCGAAGTTGTGAGATCTGAGGGGGTTTTGTCTATCTGTCTTGTTGAAATAGGGATCTTTGCTGTTGGAGAATTTAAACTCGGTCACCCATATACACTTTAGATGTCGCGATGCTGCTGCTGCTGCTGCTTGGAAAGGCGAGACTGATGGTTCAAACAGTCCCTAGACCGTCAATTACTAATAACATTAGACAATAAGCTAAATAGCTAACTACTATTCCCGCCAATATAACGAACGGAGCAAAGAGTGGTATCCATAACCGGCGAGCACTTGTCTCAAAGTGCCTGATAAATCCAAAATACAGATAACTATAGCAGCCACTTAAAATCATGTGGGCTTTAATATGCTTTCTAATTTGGGCCTGCCCTTTCAGAATTCCCCGAATGGATCATGCCGGAGGTTCCCGCGGCCCTCTGCGTAGGGCGAGTCCAGCTCTTGATTCGCGCTCCAGGCGCTCGACGCCTTTCGGCTGTGTCGCGCAGACCGCGGGCCTTTGTATCCGTTTGTTTGGTCAATGAACGCCTCCATGCGGACCGTGCCGATCGCGTCGAAAAAGTTGCCCGTCCGCACACTGGTTTCAGACGTGCGGCGACTGACGCTGGCCAGGCTGCCGTTGGCGTATGGCACTGCAGGGCCGTAGATGTCCGAGGAGCCGCGCGTCGACGCCACTGAGGGCATCGTACCCTGGCTCGAGAAGCTTCGGATGATGGGTATGCGGGGAGAAGTGTTGCTGCGCTTACGCGCATGATTCGAGAACCGTGGCACTGTCGGCGGGTCTGCAGCATCCATTGACTCGGCGGATTCTAATGCAGGCGGTAGTTCAGGCACAGGCTCTGGGTGACTGAGAAGGGATCGTTTTCCCTTGGGCCGCGGGCGTGGGCGGCCCTTGGCGATTCGAATAGAGTCCCGGATTGGGTTACGGCGCAGAGTGGCCGCGTGGGTAGGTGATGCGAGTTCCTCCCGCGGGACTGGAGGTAGGGAATCTAGGTCATGGAGACCCATGGACGAGTGACTCAGGAACGACAGTGCAGTCAGCCAGACATAGTGCCGCTCAATGCTCGAGGCAGTGAATTTGAGGGCACGTTGAGGCGTTAAGATGAGAATCGACCGATTGAACTGGTTTTGAGGGTTGAAGCCTTTAGGTAGCGGATTGTCATCCTTGACGTCAAGGACGGATTGGATAATCACTAGTTTAGGGTCAGCATGGATACACCAAGGCCAAAATAAAATGAGAACAATGACTTACATTTCCTACCGCTCTTACCCAACAGGGCTGGCCCGCTGGTTGGTTGTTTGCTGCTCCACATGACTGCCCGCTCATACGGCGCCAGCCAGACCCATCGCTTGTGTCTTGCGCCGCTGTTGGTGATATTTGCAGATACCTCGTCCGCATTCCGCCCATCCCAATTGTCCTTCGGCTCGCCGACACCCCCAAACGACCTCCGTCTCCGAATGTACTTGTACATCCACTCCCCGACCATGGTCTGTGCAATCGCGTCAACAACGCTGGTGGGTTGGACAATGGTGGCCGTGGAGTCCTGCCGTCCGTGTGCAAAGGGGCGGGACGCTGTCGGCGGGCGAGTCGGGCCCCTTTGCACAGCTCGTTTAGCCGGAGGTGCAGTGACGTCGTCGTAGGGAAGGGGTGGATGCTGGGGACTGTCTGGCCCGCAGGACGATGAGGACATGGTTGGCGACGAGCGGCTCCCGGGACGATCATGCGGCTCTACATGCGACATGGCAGCCGCAGATCGAACTCGGCGCAAAGTCGGCCGCCGAACAATAGGCGGTCTCCCTCGGTCTGAGAAATTGCGAGGGTTGGACGGTGTTGGACTCTGCCGTCCGTCGCTCCCTCCAGGGAATTTTCTGGAACTGAACCGCATCGGCACAGGAATAGGAGGTGCAATGGCATGGGCACCATTACCACTCTCCATACTCGGCTCGCTGGGGCTTCGCTCGCGAGGTTTCTGATGCGCTGCTGCCCCGTTGGAGATTATGGCTGTTTTACGGATATCCTGCTGTCTTGCGCCGGAAGCTCCAAGGGCGAAACGCTGAGTCCACGAAGACGGTCCGACTACCTCCTTGGAGCCTCGGTCAATTGCTGATTCTGCCAAATCAGCTTCGGCTTCTCGCAGATGCTCGTCAATTTCCGGAAGAGGAGACTCGTCCAAGCTAGGACGTCCTTGGGTGGAGACAAGCTTGCCTCTCTTCAAAGTATACGACGCAAATGGCCGGTTCAAGAAATCATCGTCGGTGAAGACGTCCCTAGGCTGCGCAGAGGTTTCTTCATCGCTCGCTTGATCGAAACCAGCAAAGAGGCTACTCGATCGTAGAGGCCGCTTGTGTTCTGACTTGGATCCCTCCGAAAGCGGACCGTTGTCATTGTTTCCCGGGTAGGCTTGCACTGGCTCAGCTGCCTTGGTGCGTACAGATGCCTTGCTCTCCCGTTTCTTTGATCTCGGAGGAGGGGCATGGTACGGCTGAATAGGAGGATCCTGAGTATCTTCGCGCAGTGGGAGATCGGGTATCGCTGACGGGAGTAGACTGGCCGGTAACTTGACAGGCCTTTGGTCGATTCGAATCTCTTCCGTCTGGATACCAATGGTCCTACTGTCTATGCTCGGACTGAAATTGGCTTGGCAGGAAACGCTCTTGGTTTGAGGTGGGAGAACCACGCTCCCTCGGGGCGAAGGGGGCTCTGAGTGTGGTGGGTGTATTGCGATCATCGGGATATCAATTTCGGGCGACTCCATGTCGGTTGGCGACGCACTGACTCCCTTGTCATCCGTCTGTGTGACGGGTGTCTGCACCGTCTGTACTGACACAGACACCATCGGTGTCACCTCTGGGACTGGCTGCGGTGTCTCGTCCAGTTTAGGAGTCCATGGGGGAGTGGGAAGGTCTTCGACAGTTTGACAGGAAGCCGAAACCATATCGATTGTAAGCGCCGATGTGCCACTGTCTTTACCCTGATAGTGGTTGGTGATTTTGCTATCACGGCGCTCTGTAGTCTGCTCCACGGACGGTGGTTCCGGTTTTGATGGTGACACGGGCGATGGAGGAGGTGAATACTGGATGCCTGTGTCGCAGTACACAGAGGGTGTTGTGGACATTTTCAAAGGGCTACTGGGTTCCGAGCCCCCATCAGCCTTGAATCCATAGCCATCTGCACTGGTCAGAGAAAGACCGAGGATTTTTCTCGCCTTTGCGCCCATGCTCATTGTGCGAGAAAGCTGCGAGTGAACGGAAGCCGGCCGTTCTTCTGGAAGTGCCTCGGGCGACTCTGGTACAAAGTCGGCTTCAAAGGACTCGAACTCGTCTTCCTCGTCAAATGCCAGTTCTTGGGCCAAACTCAGCCCTTCGCTCTTAAGACCCTGAATGGTGGCTACACTCGCGACGGAATACCGCACGTTGTGATAGTCAGTCTCATCGATGCTGTCAGCACTCACACTTGTGATACTGGTCCGACGATGCCCTTGACTGCTTCTTGAGTCAACACTTGCAGAGTCGCTGTCTTTCCCAGCTTCTACTAACGTTGCGGTCTGATCACGCCTCGAGTCATCGGCATCCTGGGCTGAATGAAACGAGCCAGCTGCTTGAGCAGCGGCTACCTCGCTCAACACAACCTTCAGGCGTCCTTCCACCACGTGGACTTTTCGTTCCAAGTTCCTCCGTTCGCCTTCCCAAGCATCTTTGTCTCGGTTCCAAAGCTGTGCTGTTCTCTCTACCTCCTCTTCACGGCTTCGTGCCTTCTTCTGAGCTTGTTCGAGCTTCTTACGGACATCCGTAATGTTCTCCAGGGCTTCATCACGCTCTCGTGCTAGCTCAGTGAGGGCGGACGAAGAGCCACCTTCCAGCAGCTGCAACTGATGCTTGAGCGAACGAGACTCCTTAGTGAACTTGACCAGGCGCTCAGTAAGACCTTCGTTCTCCGTTCGTGATTCGTCTAGACTCCGTTCGAGTATATCAATTGCCTTTGCTTTACCCTCCACGTCTCGACGCAGAGAAAGGATTTCGGAGACAAGTGAGGCATGTAGTGTAGGTGTAAAGCGCCGCGGATCTAGTGGCGATAGGTTGTCCTCGTCAGCAGTGTCCTCATAGTCGCTGCGAGCATCAGGCGAGAAATTCAGAATTGGTAGAGAATTAGGCGAAGACGACAGGCCGGGGGAGGAATCTGCGCGAATATGTATTGAAGGAGGTCTTTGTGGTGTTGCAGATGGCGTCGGGAATGCCCTCGAAGCCGGAGGGCTTGTGTAGACGGTCTCGGTGGCCATTGTGTGTGTATGCCCAGAGTCGATGGATGTTCGACAGCTCAACGCAATCCCCCAATTGCAATAGAGCAATCAAAGATCGTAGTACCGCGTCATGCGCTTTCCATGAGCTTTACATATGCTGTGCTCCTCGACGTCCCCAGCAAGGACCAGCTCGACTGGTCGAGGTCTGATTGTGCCAGCCGTTCGCCGCCAAAATCTATTGAAGCGTCGTGGCTACTAATCTTCCTGGCGGAAAAGTGTAGACCTGATCAGCACATGGTGTCTGCTTGGAGCGCCAAGGAAACGCGGTTGGAAATAGGGCTGGAGACCAGAAAAGGCATGCGGAAACAAGGATGGTACTTACGATCAAATCAAAGTTCAAGACCTGCCACCTTCACAATGCACAGGCTGGCTCGAGCTTGATAGGCGCGTCAATGCGAGTGAGTGTGCTAGGGAAGAGAGGCCAGTGAGGGGGGCAAAGTATGAACTGAGTCAAGGTCTCTCTCGACGCGGGGATGGGGAGGGGGGCAAGGATGTATGAAGGTAAACAGGATTGGAGGGCGATCAAGAAAGCAGCGGCGTCGCGAAATCGGACCCAAAATATTAGTTTTATTACCTGCCAGAGGCCGCGAAAGTCTAGACAAGAGATCTGAGGGGAAAGGGGAGATTGTTTGCCAGGCTACCCTTTAGTGAGTTGGAGCACACCGGGCTCAAGAGCTAAACTGGGCCTTGCACGAAAGAACCTTGTCCATGGGCCATACATCGGGCGGGGGACAGTTAGCGCAGTAAATGAGAGTGATAAAGGTAGGCCCATTCGACAGCGGAGTAATTGTCTGCCATAACCAGAGCAAACTAGCGCATTAGCTTCGTCCAGGGGTGTTCGTTAGGGGGAAGATGGGGGGAACCGAAGGCCAACTCCACGCACCCAATGACTAGTGAGGAGAGAAACCACCGAACGACCGACTCCACTAGAGCTTGCCACAGCTGGGCTCGAGGATCCCGATCCAATAGGCAAGTGATAGAGGATGTGTCTGACAGTGCGACGGATCGGCCGCCGCCATTGCAGATGAATGGCTGGTGACCAGCGGACTGGTAACAGCCAAACCCTCGTCGGTGGAAAAGCATAGCCAATGAAAGACAACAGCTGAGAAGGAAATAATGAAATGTAATAAAAATAACAAAGGGTAGTAGTACCTGTCTACAGTAGGAAAAGGGACTCGAGTCGAATCTGAAACAAGGCGACATGCATTGATCCTAGCACACCGCGGGAACAGGGGATGGCAAACGCGAAAGCGAGGGGGGGCAAAGAGAAAAAAAGAAAAAAAAATATTATAATAATACTAATAAATACAATCAAAAGGAGGATGGTAGGCTGAAGATCGTCCCGACGTACTTTGTACTTCTTGCGCAAATCCGATGAGAGTATCCGATGGGAGGGGGCAAGAAAATTCCAGCACGAAGTAGGAGAAAAAAAAATCCAATAAATAGAAATAAAATGGACATTAATACAGAGATAAGCCAATTAGACGAAAACGCAAAAGACCAAAAGACCAGGCTAAGGTAGACTAAAACGCGACCGAAGTCGACCAACACGGCCGGCACAAAGACTGCCGGGCGAAGGTCATTCAAAACAGCAGTTGAACTTGACGGCAGTTCGTGTCAATCACTAGTCGGGTCCACCGGTGGGCTCAAGGGGATCATCGCCTCTCCTCTATTTCGATCCTGCGCCTGTTGGTTGGTGAGATTGCCTTAAATATGACTTCTCTTCGAGGGCTAAGATATATTGGTAGCCTCGTTGCCATGTATCGGCTATACCGGGCCAGCGTCTTGATTGCGGATGTTGAATAGCCACCGGGATCAGTGAAGGCCAGCCTGCAGGGACTGATTCCAGCCGACGCGACATGGGTGTACTAGCCGTAGAAGAAAGTTTGTTGCATCTCCCCAATCGTATGATTGAAAGACGAGTGGGAAGCTTCAGGATACTATCTTGTTCAAAGCCACCAATGGATTTCCAACGAGCCCGTGCTCGATGTTTCAGAGTCCTTTCACCAGCCCCAGAAAAGGCTGCGCAACTTATATTTAGGAAAAAACCAACCCGTCACGTCCTGATGGAGTGCTTGTTACCCCCGATCTGCTATCAGACCCGGAGCGGACTCGGAGTTCCTTCATCAAGATGGTCGTCCCGGGAGTTGGTGGTTCAGTTGTCAAGGGCACCTAGTCCAACATTTGACATGTGAGAGGCGTTTAATTTCCGCGCTTTGTACTCCATACTACCTCTGTTCATTGATTCTTGAACCCAATACGAACCAGAAGGGGTGCACGAGAGGAACAGCCGGGAAGGATCCTTGGGTGCTTCCGTTCAGCTTAGCTCCCCACTTATCATTTCCACCGTTCCCTGGTTCAGGACCACCTTGGGAGACGGCCCGGCGCTCAACTTTTGGGTAGTGTCTCCAGTCCGGAAATTACATACTAGGGAGGCGGGGAGATTGGATGGATGACCCTTTGCAGGCGTCCTTGCTGTTGGCAGCCTCCGAGGGAAAACGTCTCCCCTCGTGATAACTTCTGCGTCGACGGACGGGATGAATACTAAATTCACCTTTCCTGTCATCAAATCATCACGGACCTCTCGGGTGGATATGTATTCATATCGAATTCATTTAATGGCTTGGCGACCATCACTGTTTGCCGGTCTGCGATCAATTTTCGCGCGCGGTCCGTGTGACGCAAGGCGATGATGTGCGTTAGATCATAATGGAATGGAGCAAAAAGGATTTGTCGCCAGCTAGATAGTAGACTATCTATCTAGTTATCAATCCGGTATTGCTCAGCCAAATCAGCATCCGACTTTCGTCCCTGGCTCAATTAAGAGAACGTGAGCAGTTACGTACCAAAGCCAATTGGCTTGCAGTCTAATCGGCCGTAGTCTGCGCCGGCTTCAAGCTTGGCGACCCACGCGGCAAGACGGACTGGATTTTGCGCCTTCCGGCCTTCGTCTCAGGGGTAAACCGGACCTGACAGGTCGGCCGTGCGTTACCTGAACGGCTGTGCAGGCTGCAGCTGAGAAGTAGACAGGGATCGTACTTAGACAGTTCATACTAGATCACAGTATGGAGTATACAATAATAAATATAACGCTAGTATTAATATCCTAGTGACTCGTTAATACCTCGCCGGAGGATATCCGCGGTTGGTCTGGACTGGTCCGGCTGGTGTCTCGGATGTCGTCGCGTCGCTCCAGAGAGCACCAGGATCAACTATCATGGTACTAACCACGCATCCCGAGAGAGGCGATCACATAGATAGTGTCTTCCTGGCTGAACTAGGGGACCAAAGAGACCTCCTTGGCGCAGCCGACGAGAGTCGTTACTCCGGTCTTAGACAGACCAAGATCCCGCCGTTTGAAGGATCATCGGGCTGCAGCTGTCATTATCCAGGAAAGGATAACCAAAAGACGCCCTGGTCAGCCAACGGTGAACGTTCAATGCAGGGCTAGCGATGCGCGGACCTTCAGTGAGACGTAACCCCGTACTTTCCTGCCTATTAACCTGAAGCAGCGATGGAAGGTGATAATGTGATAGATCCAGGGATCACCGCAGCTTGTGGGGTGGGGGAATCTCATGTAATATATTGTCTTTGCCTTTCCCGTCTCTGTACAATCGTGTTATATCAGCCAGTCGGGAGTCTAATCCGAACTCTGAGCGGCAAGTAACCAAAGTCTCGTCATTATTCGAGCACGGGACAGAGCGGATGGGGTAGAGAGCAGAGAAAGAATAGTTCATGTGAGAGATGAGAGGGAGAGGGTGAGAGAGAGCAAAGGTTGATCGTTTTGCATGCTTTGCATCGCCAGAACTCCTGGCTGATGTTTCTGCCGGTGCACGCTTTGTTCGCCTTCGCCATTCTTTCCCCTCATGATTCCATTATCGCTCGATTTCCTCTCTCCTCTCTCTTTGAGTGTGGGATTCATATATCTAGATAGGCTAGATGAATAACCAGAGCCCTGATATTACCAGCAGGTTGTTGCTTTGACCTGGTTGGCGCCTTTGGAAATCCCCTGCTACACTGTGCATATCTCACAGACCCGCGAAGTACCGCTATAGGGACGCATCGCCTCCGTACCCCTGTACACACACTGGCCAAGGTTCAAAGCTCTAAATTTACATCCCGACAGACAGGCACCTTCAGTGGCGTTGTGCAATACGGAACGCGGACAGTGACACCCGAACCTTGCATCAGCCAGATAGGTACGCCACACGAGTCAAATCTTACATCCCATCATGTCGATCAGCCCACTCCCAAAGGCACTATTCTTTGACGTCTTTGGCACCGTCGTGGAGTGGCGCTCCTGCGTTACTCAGGCCCTGATGAAAGCGGCTGAGAATGCTCTGCTTGATCCTGGGAAGCAGCTCCCAGCGGACGTCCGCGCACGGGTACAGGCCACGACCTCTGAGGACTGGCAGGCCATTGCGGAAGAATGGCGCGCGTCCTATGGCCGGTTTACGAAGAACTTTGATTCAACATCGACGTTCGTATCGGTGGATGAACATCATTACAGCTCTATTAAGCAGCTGCTCCACCAGAGAGGTCTCCACGACATACTCTCTGATGAAGAGCGATGGGACCTTGCACTCTGTTGGCATCGGCTCGAGCCTTGGTCGGACTCGGTCGAAGGCTTAGAGCTGTTGAACCGCCGGTTCCAGACTTGCACTCTGTCGAACGGCAATGTGTCTCTTCTAGAAGATCTTTTGAAGTATGGGTCATTGCCATTCATGAACGTGGCCAGCGCTGAGCACTTCGGAGCCTATAAGCCCGCCCTTCGAGCGTACCATGGAGCAGCCGAGCGGTTCGGCTTGGATCCCAGTGAGTGTGGTATGGTAGCAGCGCATTTGTACGATCTCAAAGCGGCAAAGAAAGCAGGCTTTATGACAATCTACGTCGAACGGCCCCAGGAGGAGAGCTTCACCGCTGAACAGATTGCCGAAGCCAAACAGGAGGGTTTTGTCGACCTGTGGCTCGAGCATGGCTACAGCGGTCTAATTGGGGTGGCTGAGCGACTTGGTATTCTGAAGGAAACCAGGCCGTAGGATTGAATTGTGTGTCTGGGCGCTTCTTTTGCACGTCATTTATCGAGCATAAGGTGGCGCAGAAGCATCTGCAGCACCCGATGAATCGTCTGGAGCATCCTTTTTGATGATGCGGTCCTTTCTGTCCTTAATTCCAGGCATTAGCATATCCTCCCAGCACGCTCGCTTTAGGAATGACGATAGCTCAATATTCGGTTAACTTCTCCAAGCTCCGCCCCGCATCATAAGATGGCATCATCGCGGCGATTTGTCAGCGCCCGGGCCTCAGGCTGTGTATAAGTAATTAAAAATTGACTGACAGCTTGGACTGTGAGACTGTAGGTAGTGCACTCATCTTCTGGTGCTACTCGACGTATCATTTATTTTGTCGACTTTGAATTGATTCAGTTATTAGCAATATGGCGGAACAGGTATAGATCATCTCTGCCTGAATTCGTCAAGAACATAGGTCAGCTAAGTTGTAACAGGAATCCAAAGTGCATGGCCATGCCGATGCAGACGGTCACTTCCGGCGCAAGGAGTCCGCCTTCCGCTCGACCGTATCTTCGGATCCTGATGCGGAATTTCCTGCTGAAAAGGACCGCTATGTCTTGTACCTGACCTACGGATGTCCGTGGGCGCATCGTACTAACCTGGTTCGATCTCTCAAGGGCCTAGAGGATATCATCCAGCTCGTGGTTTTGGACCCCGAGCTGGGGCCCGAAGGTTGGTTCTTTTCTGGCCGATGGGGGTCCGCTGAAAAAGATCCCTTGTATGGGTTCACAAAGTTGAGCCAATTCTATTTTAAGGCCGAGCCGGACTATGAAGGGCGCTATACCGTTCCGATGCTCTGGGATAAGAGAAAGGAAACGATCGTGAACAACGAGAGTGCCGAGATCATCAGAATGCTTTACACAGAGTTCGACCAACTTCTGCCGGAGGAGCTGCGTGAGGCCAACCGGCCTGGAGGGGGTTTCTACCCGGCACATCTGAGGTCAGAGATTGACGCAATGAATGAGTGGGTGTATCACAAGATTAACAATGGAGTGTACAAAACCGGATTCGCCACAACGCAGGAGGCTTATGACGCGAATGTGTATCCACTGTTCGAGGCCCTGGACCGCGTTGAGCAGCACCTGGCACATCCAGGCCATCAGCCATACCTGTTTGGGGAGAATATCACGGAGGCGGACATTCGACTGTACACAACCATTTGTCGGTTCGATGTAGCCTACTACCTGATCTTCCGCTGCAACCTCAAGATGATCCGGCATGATTATCCGCTGATCGACCGTTGGTATCGACGGCTGTACCATGATGAAACGCAGCGTACCCGAGGCGGAGCATTCAAGAAGACCACCTTCTTTGGCATAGTACGTGAACCGTTATAGTCGGAAGGTGGCATTCGCTAACAATCTTGGGCAGTACAAATTCGGCTACCTGAAGGCGCTAGGGAAGCGATCGGGCAGCACTCAGACGATCATTCCGGCTGGTCCATTCCCGGACATCCTGCCCCTCGAGGCGTAGTGGATAGTAATGATCACCAGTGGCGTGTGGATAGATTTGCACGGATATCGGGCATCTCTGTTCGCATGAAATGAGTTGGGATGTTATCAACCTGGCATTGCTCGAAAAATGTGGGCTGAATGTGATCGTTGCGACGCACAGAGCATGTCCTGGTTCCCATTTTGCTCGTTCCTTCCTTAGCTTAGTGAGAATTGAGGACAGAATGCACGACTAGGCTTCCCATGACTGCTTCACGCAACAGCCACTCTGTCAATACCGGCGACCGTTAACCTAAGGACACTGGTCACTCAGTATGAGTAAAGGAGGTATGCGGTCACTTCGTAACTACCGGTCGGCTTATTAGACTTCAAGACCGTAATTAGACTTTGCTAGTCAGGACGGCGACGGCAGTCGAGGGGGGCAGATGAGGGACCATCTAACGAGGAGAGGCAATTGAAGCCGGGGAGACGTGTCTAACACAGAAAAGACCTCGCAGACTATCCGCATCTCCCGAGGCACGATGCCTGACTAGAGCATGGTCTACTTCCTAGACTGCCTTGGCAAAAGCTGTTCGGTCAAAATGCCCAATCCGGGTCTGGACAGGATTGCCAGGCACGAGGCTGTTTCAAAGATCGGTCGGGATGACTTCGAAGATCAGTTTCATCTGCTCGAAGACTACTATGCTCCCATTTTCGTTGTCGACATGCGAGATGATGATGGGATAATGAATGAGTGAAGGAAGGGGGAGGGTAGTGGGTGGCCTCGGCACATTCTTATCGTAGAACTCCCCGTCTTCGAGAAGTGGGTGGGAAGGAAGAAACCTAGAATGCGTCTAGAAGAAACTAGATATCCGCGACAATTTCCCTTCTCCTGCGGAGGTCCTTTCAGGGGGTTCGAACTATATTACTCGCTTGTATGGAGAAGTAGGATATGTGGCGGAATCCACTTCACCATCCAGAGGAGACGGATGGGGGATTTAGTGGGTTTGAATGAGACTCTGAACATGAGTTATGGTTTCTCGGGGAAATTCAGACAATAGGAAAAATAGTACACCTGTCGCTGACGGGGGAATGAAGGGAAACGACCAAGGCCGGCTGCTGGTAGATATTAGGAAGTGGAAGCTGTCAGGATGCACGGGGATCCAAAGCCATGTGCAAAGTGGGCAGGTTACCCAGTAAATAGTCGATACTAATCACTAGCCGGTAATTAGTGACCCAGGCAGGTGGGACGCCCTTTTCCTCCCCCCTCTCTCTTCCTCTTTTGCTGCTGCTGTCCGTCCCCCCCTGATCCGTTCGCATGCTTGGCCATGGATGTTGGAGTGTTTCTCTAGCAACCAGGTCCACCATAATCCCCCAAGCAGCAAGCTGCATGCGCCGGTTCAAATTCATGCATGATCGGTGGAAATCCAGATACTAGATGTATAGATAGATGCATGTCCTTCATGGGGTGCATGCAAGTCATGCAGCCGGTGGCTCTAGGCTGGCCGATGGGGAGGAAGGGAAGTAAAACGCACTGGCGGTCATACTATGTATGGTATTGCCGCTCTTGAAGTAGGGGTCCTCGGCCGGCTTCCTACACAATGACTACCACTGTTGGTGAGTTATTAAGCATTTCATGGGGGGAAGAGGTTGAGAAACAAAAAAAAAAAAAAAAAAACAAAGAACGTTAACTCAAGAATTACCCATTACTCATAGCTTTCCTGACTGGAGCAATTACGGAGCATGAATCTGACCTGTTCCGGACTAGCCGGCCGTCCATCCACCGTTGAAAAGACGTGCGAGTCAGTTTTGATTGTGATGGGACGAAGACTAAGCCGGTAGCGTCGGCTACGATTGAGAGACACACCAATGAAGGGAACGGGCATCCCGTCGGTGTCAGAATTTTCTTTGAGATTACCTATCATGAAGATGACGATGTCCGGCGATTCAGTGGAAATAAAGACCGATGGAACACTACTTCCCCGAGCAAGGTACATTCTGGACCACGGGCCGCCGTCCAGTAGATACCACGCAGTACTAGTAGGTAGCAGTACTAGTAATCTAGTAGTCCCCGAGAGCTACTTTAGCCACCCACGTGGAAGGAAACGGGGCCGGGATATTACTCGCGATGCTATTTAAAATGATGGATGGCTTCAGAGTCCCAGGGGATAGGACACATCACGATGGGTTCGCGTTCCTGGTGGATTCGTCGTTGATTAATTCATATTAAATTAGGTGTCAACAACGGTTGGAAACCCCCGAGAAGGAAGGTGCATAACGGATAGATAGCACACAGTAAGCGGGCTTCTGCTTGTGAGGGAACAATAATGCCTAGTTGTGTGGTAGTGTGTGTGGTTATCCAGGGGATTCATTATTTTCTTGTTGGGTTTACAGTATGTCCCCCTCCGAACGGAAAAGCCCAACCCTGTCACACTCGCGGTAAACCAAAACGGGTAACTAATGTGAGAATCAAGTACAGGCCAACAAGTTCTTCTCCAAAACATCGCGCCTATAATGTGGCTTGGTAAGAGTTCGTCTGCTCTCACTCCGGTCAACCGGATGTGTTTCTTTCTCTCCCTCACTCACCTTCACCTTGGCACTCTCGATGGGATGGCAGTGATCGAGGACTGACTGGGTGCGTCGCTGTAGGCAGTAAGTAAGCTGTAGCTCGAAGGAAGGGAACGGAGGTCCAACTTGCGCTATGGCCCGGCCCGATACTTGATCTGTACCTCCAACGATAGTAGAAGGTCACCCAACAGACACCTAGCAAGTACAGAATACGCTGTTAGCTATAATGTTTCATAACGTCTTCGATGTTTGAGAGGTCAGCGTTACTAGAGATTTGGGCCTTCAAGGTCAATGGCACATGCATTACTGTGCTACCTTGAACGGTTGATCTCTCCTAACCTATTTAGTCCTTCTCAAGGGGCGAACAAATCTAGCTCATGATCGGTGATCTTTTGCTTCCGATACATCTCCCTATGCTGCAAATGCAATAGGGGGAGGGATGATGTCTTCCCCTCTCCACTAGAATGTCTCTAGGGATTTCCCAACTTTCCCAACCTCAAACTTAGACTGACCGGAAGACGATTTGTCAAACGTCATATACCGCGGCGATGGAGACTTCTGTTCTACTGAGCTAGCCCCTTTTCGTTGTTCGAGAACTCTACTAGTCTTCTACCAAGTTGGGGATTATCTACCTATATTCACGAGCCTGTTACTGGTGAAGATCAAGGTTAACTCCCCAATAGTGTGCAAATAATGACTAATGGAATACTTGTAACTCACTAGCAATGTCCGAGGTCGTTGAGTTTTCCATCCCTCTTCTAGTTGGCATGCAATGACAGTACGCATCCAAGTACACTGGCTCTTGGGCAGATCTGTTGCACTTTTTCGAAATCCCGATAATCAGGAAGATTGATGTTAGTCCGGTTCCCCAGGGGAGAGAGGGGGGCGCGGAATGTTCTTTCCTTCTCCCCGTCGCACTTAAGTGGAACTTGCGACTCTTAGGGCATCGTCAACCGTGAAAATCCTCCTGCTACACGGGATGGATGGGTCTTCATGGGCCTACATCGGTCCATACAGACGAGTGGCTTGCTCCATAAGGCGTCATATCGAGCACTGCCTTTCTGGTCCCTTGGTAGAACTTCGGGCAGTTCACCTGGTGGCGCAAAAAGGTTCATTTCACCAGTAGACAATTTTACTCGCTTGTGCAAAACGTGAGCGAGTGTGGTATGGTTTGTCTTCTATCCATTGCGGGTAAAATGATGGCACCACATGCGCATTGGGTTGCTCTTTGCATCAGACGAATGACTGTTCCTGAATCCCTCCGTGATAGGGACACTCAGAGCTAATTATGTATTCATTCCTGACTCCTGATACAATCTGCAATCGGGACCAATACCATTTATTACCAGTTACCATGCCTGTTCTGACTTCTGTCTGTTGTGGGGAGCCAGCCTTGAACTTAGTGTTTCCATGCACCCACTTCGTGTCTACCCGAAACCATCTCAAGACTGAACCTCAATTTGAATGCAACTTCTGTCCTCTAGGAAGCGGACAAATGAATCCAGGTGGGACAGGGACCGATTATGATGTAAAGCACGAGGCGTCGCAGGCAGCAAGCTTTAAGCTTGTCGTTTGTTGGGAAGTTTCTGTGTAGATACTAGATAGACAAAACGCCGCATAGTAGTTCGTTCCTATGGGATTCTCAAGATTTCTTCCCAGTCATATACCCATGTCAGATAGTATGGTCTAGATTCTAGGTTGATCTCCGTATGGGCTGTCAAGTTCAAATTGGTTCCGAGAGCGCGTGGTCGGTACGGCAGCATGATCGGGACAGCAGAGGTTGGGTCAACTCCTTCAGTTCCCCAATCAAATTGGTCGAGAGTAATTTATTTGAGAATCTTCAACTCTACGCAGAACAAGAGTGGAAAAGAGAGAAATAGAGAGACAGAGAGAGAGAGAGAGAGAGAGAGAGAGAGAGAGAGAGAGAGAGAGAGAAGAGGGGGGTGTGTTGTGTACCTGAAAGTACCTGGTACCCACCAGGAGAACTTCCATACCAGGAAAAATGACCGTACCATACCATACCCTCCCACTTGTTTCCACAACCCCCCGTGGGTCTTGGTTGCAGCATTGTCCAGCTCCAAATTACTTACTTACCTTCCGATGGCACTCACTCACTCAACTGCCTTGAACTGCCCTTCTGTGACCTTTTTGACTCTCGTTCTCATCCACATCTTCCTCTTCCCCTCCTTCGGTCAGTTTACTTTACTTTACTTACTTCCACCCCCTCCTCCTCCTACTGCGACCTCCTCCCTTCTCTGATCTTCTCATTCCATCCATCTCGCCTACACCCTCAACTCATTCTTGCCTCTGCTTATTCTCTTCCCCCGTCACTTTTATGACCTTTCCTTCCAATCCCAACTCCATTCGTGTCCTGTCCAGTTAAATTGATTCTAGCAGAATCATTGACCCCGACCTGGCTCATCCATTGATTGATTTCCTCCTACTACTAAGTACTTACCTCTTGAAACCAAACCGCGGTTGTTGGTCTCCAGCAGGGCTCATCGTCTCCGCTACTTCATTATCTATTCTCTCTGTTTCCTAGTCATCCTTTTTTTACGCCCTTTCTTTTCTTTTTATTTATTTTTTTATTATATTTTATTCTTTCTCATTTTAATTTTCCCTTTCACCCTCTCCATACCATCCCCTCATCATCCTTCTATTATTTCTTTCTTTACTTCTTAGAATCCTTTCAATCCTCTTTTTTTCTCTCTTCCCCTCTCTCTATCTCTCTCTCTTTTCCAAATTCTTCAATTCCTCACTCTCTCGGGTACACCTCTCACTCTTCGGGACCTTAAAACTTGAACCATTCCCAAAACAACAACAATTGGGGGTTGCCCCTCTTCCGTCGAATCTTTTCCGGCCAAGCCTCTTTGGACCTCCCTTTAGGTCCTGCGCCTCTTCCCCTCCCCTCCCCCTCCACTCTCGTCAAACTCAGCATCGCAGAAAGAGTCACCCTTTTCGCAGCCTGCGGATACTTTCTCAGTACATCCGCTGGTGGCGATCATTGTCTGCGTCTCGCCCCTCACGTGGCAGAACTACCTTGAGGCAAACCTTCCTGTGTTTGGAAGCTCGGGCAAGCCCCGTTCATCTTATTTTCTTACGTTCACGCGGAGTTCCGGGCCAGCTCACTAAAATTGAACTCCGCCCGCTTGTGCCATTCTGCAGCTGTGGGTGGCCGCTTATTTGAGAGTCCTCGAGCCAAATCAAGAGGTCCTCCTTCACCACATTCTCTTCCCACCTTTGGTTGCTTTTCCCCCTCCATTGCTTCAAAGGTCGCAGTAACGCGAATTCGGCGACTTCTTGATCGCTCTTCGTTACCACCTTTCCCCTACCTCCTCCCCTTTCTCTCTCTCTCTCTCTCTCTCTCTCTCTCTCTCTCCCTTCTCTCCCTAATTTCCAGCCTTCTCCCACTGCGTTCTAGGTACGTAATATTCCCCCCTCCTCCTTATCTCCTCTGGCTGCTCCTGTCGCTCCCGGTGTGGACTGGTGAGCTTGGACTGGGGGTCCAAAGGCAATGGATTCCGGTGGCTAACCGCACTACCCAAATAGCCGTCCTCTTTAGGACCCCAGCGTTTCGCGAATCGAAACGCTCCGTTCCCGCGTCCGTGCTTACCGTGGAGCCTTCATAGATCTCTTTGCTTTTCTTTTCTTTCCCTCTCTTCCTCTTTCCACTCCTGTGGTCTTCTCCCACACCGGTTGTTCCCCAGTGACACACCCAATTATCTCTCAACCTATCGCTCTACCTTTCTGGTAGAATAATCAATCGCCATGTCGGGGAAAATGACGTTGTATAAATTGGTGGTGCTAGGGGATGGTGGTGTCGGAAAAACAGCCCTCACAATTCAGGTTAGCCCTTCACGTACCCGCCCGCACTGGTGTTCTGACAACTGATCTTTGGACCTTGGTCTTGCCCAACAGCTTTGTCTAAACCATTTCGTTGAGACCTACGATCCGACCATCGAAGACTCGTATCGTAAACAAGTCGTGATTGATCAACAGTCGTGCATGTTGGAAGTACTGGACACAGCAGGTCAAGAGGAATATACTGCGCTGAGAGACCAGTGGATCCGTGACGGCGAAGGGTTCGTTCTCGTCTACAGCATCACCTCGAGAGCTTCTTTCTCCCGCATACAGAAATTCTACAATCAGATCAAGATGGTCAAGGAATCGGCCAACTCCGGATCGCCCTCGGGGGCCAGTTACTTGGGATCCCCGATTCACACGCCTTCAGGCCCCCCGCTTCCGGTGCCGGTCATGTTGGTTGGCAACAAAAGCGACAAAGCCGTTGAGCGCGCGGTTTCAGCTCAGGAGGGGCAGGCGCTTGCCAAGGATCTCGGTTGCGAATTCGTCGAGGCCTCCGCGAAGAATTGCATCAATGTGGAGAAGGCATTTTACGACGTGGTCCGGATGTTGCGACAGCAGCGCCAGCAACAGCAAGGACGGTCTCAGGATAGACGAACGACCGGTTTGGGTGCCGGGCGTGATCCTGGTCCCGAGTATCCCAGATCATTTCGGCCCGACCGTACGGGAAGCCATCGCCGCCCGTTCAAGTGCACAATTCTGTGAATAGGTGGCTTTGCACGGCCCGTTCAGCTGGCTGATTTGATTTCCTTCCCGGTTCCTAGATGCTGGCCCCTGCTGCTCCTGCTGCCGCAAGAACTGCACACCTATATTTTTTCGATCAGTCGGTGATCTGATTGTCTTTCCGTATTCTTATTTCTTCTCTCCTCCCCCCCCATTTTACGTTTGCCCCTGGCCTCTCTATCTCATACTCTTGTTATATGGCCTCATGTGGGTCGGACCAGGGGCAGCATCTTCCCCACGTTCATACCGGCTGTCGACAATGCGCCGTCCAGCAGAATCTACGCAACGCGCAACTTTCGACCTGTTTATTGTTTTCGTTGACGTCTCGTCCTCTCGAACTCCATTCCTCGCAGATGCCCAACTCGAACAGATGCGAGGGCGAGCCAACGAATGTGCTTGATGCATGAACCATGCTTGTTTATTAATAGTATTATATGTGCCCGGGGGGTGAATTTTCTTTCGCGTCCATGGCAGGGTGTTTCGGCTACATTGGGGAATCTTATGTTTCAAGGGGCTGGGGATTCCGGAGCTGCTGGGACCATAGAACGATGCGCAATCTCTGTTCTTGTTTGCTTTGTTCCGTATTTTCTTTTTGATTTTGTTTGTTCGGCGCCCGTCGGCACAGCGCCCAGCCTTCTGCATATCTGGGTGGCGCATGAAGGGCCAGGAGGCAAGAGGGGCAGCTGGACGAGGCAGGCAATGGGGAGCGATGAGGGGCGGCGGTGGATGAAGGAGCGACTCGTGCGGTAGAGCGAGGATGGCAGTCGACCGTTTAGCAGGCATTGCGATATGATACCCTACGGCTGAGCTTTTGAGTTGTGAATTTCCGATGCATTTGGCATTACTACAAAAGAATCACAAAGATAAAAAAGTGAACCCTTGATAACCTAATATATTCTATTTCCGTCACTGGTGGATGTTGAGAGTAAATTTATCATAATGATTGGGTTCGCGTGCGGGGAAAGGCCCAAATAATGTACTTCTCTTTTGATGTGTTAACAACTATACTACTAGTAAGTACTACTGCCAGTCAGTCGGTCGGTCGGGTATTATTATATGATATATATATATATATATTTTTCCCTTTTTTATTTTTTATTTTAGTTTCCTCCTTTTTTTTTTCTGGAATTGGTAAGCAGAGCAATAGCTAATTGAATATATATATTTGCGTGTGTGTGTATATCAGATCATTGTATATGTGTCTTTCAATCGTTGTATGATGTCTCTACTTCACAGTAGTCACCTCCAGTTGAAGCCAGCTGACTAGTAGTGTTGATATCCCAATGTAGGCATCGAGTTATTATTTTTCTTTTTCTTTGAATACGAATTATGATCCCATGAGGTCGTGTTGACTAATGAGAGTTAATATCGCAAGAGTTCGGTTATCGCGTCTGATACTTTAGGATTCCGTACTAGTAGTACTAATCACTTTTCCCCTCCAGCTCACTGCACGATGTCTCATTCTTGAGGCTGGCTAACTCAACTGGTCACTAGCCCACATTGGAGTAGGTTTCATTACTAGTAGTAGTACTGTGGTGGTGGTAGTGGTGGTGAAAAAGAATCTCTCTTTCCATGAGTCTCCTTTTTCCTTACAGGCATTCACTCAAACTGTACACTCTTTTTGCTTTTCCCAGGGAATTAACTCTTAGGATGGTTTCTTCCCATAGTATTGATATCTCCCCATCTAGTAGCCTAGTTCCTAACTACTTGAAGTAGACTCAAATGGGTTATTCTTCTTGAGAAATGCGACCATGAGAGTCAATGATCTGCTGGAGTATTTCATGATAAAAAGTCCCCATAAAGCGGAGAAAGACGGTGGGTCTCTACAAAGGGAGTGACCACTTGGTTTGACTTGATTAACTTGGTTAAGGTGTCATCCCCACCTTTCCCCCTCATCTTCTCTCATTCTCTCTTCTCTCTTGTCTTGTCTTGTCTCCCTCACTTTCTCTGCTGCTTCCCCTCCTCCTCATCCTCATCCTCGGTGATCGACACTCCCCCCTCCCTCCGGCTGTCATCGGGGTTCTTGTCGGTCCCATGTTGTCTCTGTGCGGTCGCGCCGCCACGAACGCCACTCTGGTTGAAGACAAACCATGTCACTTAACAGCCACTTCGGCGGTGCGTCGCCCTAGTACAGACCAACCCAACCCCCGAAGCCTGCACGTTAAACGCCGGTGCTCATACTAACCCCCTTAGCCTCACGGCACATCAGCGCGGTTCCGGATAGCATGTCCAAGCCTCGACCCATCCGCGGAATGTGACAGGGACTAACCGCTGAGTATCTGCAAGAGGACCCTCATCCTCCCACCGGAAACGACACCGCTCTCTATTTCCTTCGCCATGTTGGCGTGGTGTGTTGCTGCAAGCCCATTTTTAATCTCTTCCGTCGACTTTACATCCATTACTATTTGTCTATGTCCTATTTCTTCGACTATTTAAGAAGGAGAACCCCCTCCCCCTTCTCTTTCAGCATCGTTTATCGATCCACGATGTCACTTCACCCGCAGCAGTTGGTCCACAACACCTCCCTGCGCGACCCAGAAGGCTTCTGGTCTCGCCAGGCCGAACAACTGCACTGGCACAAAAAACCATCGCGTGCCATCGACCAGCAATTGAAAACAACCCCCAGTGGCTCCAGCTATACTCATTGGAGCTGGTTCCCGGATGGGGAGATCTCGACGACCTACAACTGTGTCGATCGGCATGTCCATTCAGGCAAGGGAGATAATGTTGCTATCATCTGGGAGTCCCCGGTGACAGGAACGAAGGAGAAATATACCTATAAACAGCTATTGGACGAAGTCGAGGTTCTAGCAGGCGTGCTAAGAGAAGAAGGTGTGCGAAAGGGCGACGTGGTTATTATTTATAGTAAGACTTCATTTTGAATCATCTTCTTCTCCAACGTCAAATAAAGAAGAAGCTAATAATCGGAAGTGCCTATGATTCCTGCGGCACTTATTGCTGCTTTGGCAATTGCACGCCTGGGTGCTATTCATTCCGCAGTCTTTGGCGGGTTCGCAGCCAAGTCGCTCGCACAACGCATTGAAGCGGCCAAGCCACGCGTCCTCATGACAGCGTCGTGCGGTATCGAAGGCTCAAAAGGTCCCATCGCCTATCGACCGTTAGTTGAGGGTGCTATCGAGCTGAGCCACTTCAAGCCAGAGAAAGTGATCGTCTGGCAGAGGGATCAACTGCGGTGGAATAACCCCGATAAGTTGGCTGGACAACGTAACTGGCAACGACTGGTGAAAAGCGCACGCATGCGTGGCATAAGAGCCGAGCCGGTACCCGTGAAGAGCACGGATGGACTATATATCATCTATACTAGCGGTACGGCTCCGATCTTGAGTGTGGCCCTTGGGTAGAACTGACCCCGAGATCCAATTCCAGGCACTACGGGCTCGCCCAAAGGTGTGTTTCGAGAGGCCGGTGGACACGCAGTGGGACTCCAGCTGTCGATGAAACACCTATTTGATATACAAGGGCCCGGGGACGTCATCTTCTGCGCCTCTGACATTGGATGGGTGGTCGGTCATTCGTACATCTTGTATGGGCCACTCCTGGTTGGAGCAACGACAATCCTTTTCGAAGGAAAGCCGGTGGGGACACCGGACGCAGGCACCTTCTGGCGGATTATCGAGGAGCATAAGGCAAATGTGTTGTTCACGGCGCCCACGGCCATGCGGGCCATCCGCAAGGATGATCCCAACAATCGCTTCTTTGAAGAGGTGGCTCGGCGTGGCGGCCTCCAACATTTCCGCGCACTGTTTCTTGCGGGAGAAAGGAGCGAACCCAGTATTGTGCAAGCCTACCAAGAACTTCTGAGCCAATACGCTGCTCCCGGTGCAGTGGTTGTGGACAATTGGTGGTCGTCAGAATCAGGGTCTCCCATATCTGGGCTGGCACTTAGAAGCGCTGCGGCAATGGAGTCGTCCTCGCGTCAGAATGATGCAGTGAAGCCATTGACCGTTCGACCAGGATCAGCAGGTCTGCCCATGCCTGGATTTGACGTGCGCGTGGTCGACGACGAGGGAAAGGCACTGCCTCCGGGCACGATGGGGAACATTGTCTTAGGCATTCCTTTGGCGCCCACTGCATTTACCCGTCTCTTCAACGATGACGAGCGGTTCTACCGGAGTTATCTGCGTAGATTTAATGGACAGTGGATTGACACCGGAGACGCGGGGTTAATCGATAAAGACGGGTATATCCATATCATGGCTCGATCCGACGACATCATCAATGTCGCGGCGCATCGCTTCAGTACGGGTAAGTCTCAATGTCGCGTCACTGATCCTACATAGGAATACAGGCTAACACTTGTCTGAAGGCGCCATTGAGCAAGCAATCCTCTTGCACCCACAAATTGGCGAAGCCAGCGTGGTGGGCGTTCCGGACCCGCTGAAGGGACACCTCCCGTTTGCTTTCATTCAGCCACGAACCGCGACCGGGCCCATACCCGCGAAACCTACAGCAGAACTGTTTCAGGAGGTGAATGGGCTGGTGCGCGAGCAGATCGGGGCAATTGCATCCCTAGGGGGCATGATACAAGGCCGGGGCATGATCCCCAAGACGCGCAGTGGGAAGACGCTGCGCCGAGTGCTGCGAGAGCTGGTGGAGCATGCAGTGCGCGGGGAGTACGAGGCGCCGGTGAATGTGCCACCGACGGTGGAAGACGCCGACGTCGTGGATGAGGCACGACGACGGGTGCGTGAGTACTTTGATCGACAGGGACGGGCGAAGCTGTAATCGCTTGTTGGATGCAGTTGGATGCAGTTGGATGCAGTTGGATGCACATGGAGCTGTACAGGTGACATTAAATGACATTTATCGTTGTACTTACCGAGTTGATTACCATTTGTGGGAAGTAACAGTGTTGATGATCGATGCGTATCGTATTCGTCAGTGCACGAATCAGAATTAGTATGTATGTATCTATTGAATGGATATACGCAAGTATTTTAGGCAAACATATGTATGTATCTGTATCTGAAGCTGCTTCAGAGACGTGACTCAAAACATTAAAGTTATAGACAATAGAAAAACGAGGACATGAACAACCGGAAGCCAAGCAATGCAAAGCCGTAGATGAATATAAATAGAAGAGAAAAAAAAAAAAAAAAAAAAAAAAAAAAAAAAAAAAAAAAAAAAAAAAAAAAAAAAAACAAAAAAAAAAAAAAAAAAAAAAAAAAAAAAAAAAAAAAAAAAAAGAACCATAGACGTCAGAAGATTCCAATAAGGTATAAAGCACACAATAAGTTATTTGTCAGTCGAGTCGTAAAAGAAATAAAGGTAAAAAGTATCGACACAAACAAAGGAAACCACCCATCCGATCATTTACCTCCACTGATTTGCTAGTATCCAGTAGATTCTCGCGTGGTATAGATAGAAGTCCCGAAAGTCAAGAGGGTCCTTCTATATGCCTCTATAGATCTGATTCTATGTCACACACACACTCAAGTCAACTCATTTACAGAAGGAAGGCGACGAGAGCGAAGACGGAGGCCAATCCGGCACCAGCACCAGCCGCGGCGCGGGTAGCGGCGCCAGTGAAGACAGGGGCGGAGGGAGTGGTGGCGGAGCCAGAGCCAGTGCCAGCAGCGGAGACACCCTCGGGGGAGGTAGCGGAGGAGCCGGAGCTAGAGCCGGAAGAGCTGGAGGAAGAACTGGCAGGGGCGGCGCTAGAGGCAGCGGGGGTGGCGCTGGAGGAAGCAACAAGCTTGGAGGAAGCGGGCTTGCTGCTGGGGATCAGAGGGCGAGAGGAGGGGTGGAAGCCGCTAGGGGTGGGGACCGGGGTGTAAGAGACGACCGGGGTGGTGGCGCCGATTCCAATGGCACCGGCTCCGCTGGGACCAGCGGAAGCACCGGCGGAACCAGCTCCGGAACCAGCGGCAGCACCGCTGGGGGAGGAGCCGGAGCCGGAGCCAGAGCCAGCGGCGGCACCGCTAGGGGAAGCACCAGAGCCGGAGCCAGTGGCACCCTCGCTGGGGGAAGCGCCAGAGCCAGAGCCAGAGCCGGCAGCTTCACTGGGGGAGGGGCCGGTACCGACAGCAGCGGCGCCGCTGGGGGAAGATCCAGAGCCGGAGCCAGCGGCAGCACCGCTAGGAGAAGCGCCGGAACCAGAGCCGGAGCTGGCACCCTCGCTAGGAGAAGCACCGGAGCCGGAGCCGGAGGCACCCTCGCTGGGGGAAGCGCCAGAGCCAGAGCCAGAGCCAGGAGCCTGACTGGGGGAGGCACCGGTACCGACAGCAGCGGCACCGTTGGGGGTGGAGGTGGCAGGGGCGGCGGTAGCGGAGCTGTTAATATCAAATCAGTCAGTTTTGAGGTTATTCGGACGGTCATCTTGGCGGATGGAGCCGAGGACATACCACTTGTCACAGTGGGTCACGGTCGAGGTGACAAAAGGAGTGGAGTAGGTGTAGGGGGTGCCAGAGATGGTGACGGTGGTAGGCTATATCGGATGAGAGTCAGTTGATGTTTGATTGACACGGGAAATCCGGGGAGACTGAATGAAGAAGATCGTACCTGAGCAGCAGCCGGGGTAGTCTGGGCACCCGAGCCAGAACCGGCACCAGGACCAGTGGCCAGAGAGGTGGCCTTAGGGCAAACGGTGGTGTACTCGGTGACATAGACGGTCTTGTACTCGGTAGCAATGGCACCGGCAGCCAGGGAGGCAACGACAGCAGCGGAAGCGACACGCATTTTGATGGTTATGGGTGGAATTGAAGGTGCTTTGTTTGGATTTTTGTGTAGAGTTTGGATATATAGATGACGTCGAAGGACTGACGGAGAGATAGGATCTCTTTTTCTCGTTTGTAAAGACTGTAAGCCTTGGGAGGGATTGACTGTGTTCGTTTGAAAAGAATGTACTCGGTTGAAGAACCGGAAGAGCTGAAACAGCGAGTGAGTGGAGGGAAGAAAAGAGTGAACGAGAGAGAGAGGAAGAGAGAGAGAGAAAAGGAGGCGAACCAGCGGGCCGATCCCGATATTAATATAAATAACATTACAGAGCAAAAGGAAGGAGCGAAGGAGGGGGCAGCCACCATCGCTCCTTCCAGTCTAGTGCTGTCCGTCCACCGTCGGGCCATTACCAACAATACCAATAATGTCTTCTATCATTTCTCCTATCTTCTCCTCTTTCTATGGGGTAATTATCCCCCCTAGTGACCATACCGTTACCACCTGGAAGTTCCCCACGTTCAATTTCGGGCTGCAGGAACCCAGCGGGCAACTGGCAATGGTGAAACATCACCAATTAATGAGTCCTTCACTGCCCTTCTCTCAGGGTCTGGATGCTGTTGGCATCATGAAAATGATCGGTTAGTTTTGCTCGGGTCTTGTCTTGTTCGGTTTTCCCCCTTCACCGTCTTTTTTTGGGCTATCATTGTGTTTGGGTCAGGAACCAGGTGTTCACTAAGGTTTAATGACTCCTGAGAATCATTGCCCCCTTCAGCCATAGGTTCATATCCAGTTTCTATTCATAAGTCGCCAAATCTCAGGATCATCCTGCTCAACAATGCTAGAGTTTACGGCTGAAGGTCAGTGTGGGAGCCTGGTTACGAGGAAACAGAGTAGGTCGGAGTATAGTTTTAGCTGATAAACAGTTCTAGATCGTGATCATCGATGCCTTTCATGACAGCTTGCATTCATTAGTTTGGGAGTAGTCCCTGACTATCACATAAACTAGACACGATCTATTATAACCACTACAGATATCTTGAAGACACTTCATCCCATGTCCCAGCCAACTCTTATCACCTATCAGCCATGTAGCTGTGGATCACATCATTCAGTAGACACACACAAACACAATTCCAATCGGATGGTTCAAATTGTCCCTAATGGATGGTGAGAGGCGGGGACATGTCAGCATCGCCCGGGTTAACCTGATCGAGACCAGACCAACCACGAGAACTGCCAAGCGTAAACGCCCTTCTTCATCTTGGATTTAGTTGTGTGATGAAGAAAGGAAAAAAGGAAAAAGAAGAAGGAGGGAGGAGAAAAACACACAAAATGAGAGGAAGCGAGGATTCCCGCAAGCGAGGTCGGAACCGGACTATCCTTCCTCCTCCATGCACGGGCCCCTCGGAGATGCTAAACCCGATTGGGGCTAGAGTCAGGTGCTTCCCGCGGGCAACTGGCGGCCATTCGGGCAAGCTCGTTATCAGCGCCGGAGAGCTGATACCATCACCGCGCATTCCTTGCGTCTCCGTTCGCTGAGTCCCTCATTCCCTCCTCTTCTTTTCTTCTTTTATCTTCTCCATTGCCTCCTCTTCCCGTCTCTCAATTTGATTCATTGCATATCACACCTTTTGCATCATGTTGAGTCGCTGTGGACGTCAGGCCTCGCGCCTGATCCCGCGCACGGCAAGCTCCGCTATTCGGTCGACTGCCATCCCTCTCCAGCTTCGTCCTGCGGCAGCTTCTCCTTTGCGCCTGCCGGGACAAGGCCGTAGCGTGTCCTCCTCGACCCGTGAAGGACAGCAGACTGTACGTGTCCCCTCATCGTGCGGGATTCGCGCAATGCAGCAGCTTCCGGGTTGCCTGATGTCATCCCATATCTTTATCGTACCATACCCGCTAACTCCCGTCTCCAGCTGCTCTCCGCACCCCTCGAGGAGTCCGACCCCGCCATCTATGACATTCTCCAGAAGGTAGAATTGCCAATTCTTCAGACGCAATTGATCTACCCACTCATCACAGATGTAGGAGAAAAAACGTCAGCAGCATTTCATCAACCTCATCCCATCCGAGAACTTCACATCGCAAGCTGTCCTTGATGCGCTGGGCAGTGTCATGCAAAGTCAGTCATGGTCTATGATTCGATCCTGGGGCCAGCGGAAGCTGACGCGACAACAGATAAATACTCGGAGGGATACCCCGGTGCCAGATACTACGGTGGAAACGAACACATTGACGCCTCTGAGCGGCTGTGCCAGCAGCGTGCGCTCGAGACTTTTGGCCTTAACCCCGAAGAATGGGGTGTGAACGTGCAACGTGAGATTCCTGTCGTGGCATTGGCGTGCGACAACTATACTGACCAGCACAGCGCTGTCCGGCTCGCCCGCTAACCTTTATGCCATTTCCGCCATCCTCAACACCCACGACCGCTTGATGGGCCTGGACCTGCCCCACGGCGGTCACCTGTCCCACGGCTACCAGACCCCCACCAAGAAGATTTCGTTCATCTCGAAATACTTCGAAACGCTACCCTACCGGCTAGATGAGTCGACCGGTATCATTGACTACGACGCCCTGGAGAAGCAGGCGCTTCTCTACCGGCCCAAGCTCATCATCGCCGGTACCTCGGCCTACAGCCGCTTGATTGACTACCCTCGTATGCGGCAGATCGCAGACGCCGCCGGCGCATACTTGTTGAGCGACATGGCCCACATCTCCGGTCTCGTGGCTGCGGGTGTCCTCCCGTCGCCCTTCGCCCATTCGGATGTGGTGACCACCACGACCCACAAGTCGCTGCGGGGTCCCCGCGGCGCGATGATATTCTTCCGCAAGGGTGTTCGCCGGACGGACAAGAAGGGTAACCCGGAGATGTATGATCTAGAGGGCCCGATCAACGCGTCCGTGTTCCCGGGTCACCAGGGTGGCCCTCACAACCATACTATCACCGCCTTGGCTGTGGCGCTGAAGCAGGCGCAATCGCCTGAGTTCAAGACCTACCAGCAGACAGTGCTGGCCAATGCGCAGGCCTTGGCAGAGCGTCTTGGTAACCCGCTTAGCAGTGGAGGCCTGGGATACAACATCGTTTCCGGCGGCACCGACAACCACCTGGTGCTGGTGGATCTGAAGAACCGCGGAGTGGACGGCGCGCGCGTCGAGCGGGTGCTGGAGCTGTGCGGTGTGGCCAGCAACAAGAACACGGTGCCGGGCGACAAGTCGGCCCTGAAGCCCGGTGGTCTGCGTCTGGGCACGCCGGCCATGACGACGCGAGGCTTCCAGCCGGAGGACTTCCGCCGCGTCGCAGACATTGTGGACCGGGCGGTGATTATCACACAGAAGTTGGACAAGGCAGCCAAGGAGAGTGCGGCCGCAAAGGGTGTGAAGAACCCGAACACGGTCAAGGCGTTCTTGGACTATGTGCGCGAGGGCGAGGAGATTCCGGAGATTGTGCTGCTACGACAGGAGGTGGAGGACTGGGCGGGGACGTTCAGTCTGCCCTGGGCTAAGGATGAGTAGGAGAGGGCGGTGGAAATGACTATGGTTATGTTTAATTTATGAATGCATGTCTGTACAGTGAAATTAAAATGTTCAACACATCAGAGCAGGGCTTTCTTTTTACTAAGTAGGAGGAGCAATGAAATTCGGAGAGGGTCGGGGAAGAGGGGACAGCCGTGCGGAGACAAAAATAAAGACGGAGAAGGGAGAGACCCGCCGATAAGCAAAAAGCGCCGATAGGACAAACAAGTTGGAGTCACTTTCCCCTCCGAGTCTGGATTCCCCGGCTTATCTCCGCAATGCAGCTAGCTTGTCTTGGTTAACTATTCCCGCGGAATGCATCAGTCAGTCATTCTGATCCTGTATCCCTTCCCTTCTTTCTTTTTGTCTTTCGTCTTGATTCACTCATACTCACATATACAATACATCCGCTATAATACATATACACACTTCCCACGAATCCACCATGCACATCAGCCAAGTACATCATTCCCCACACCCATCCACCCTTCCATCCATGCCCGTATCCCAGTATCACTGCTAATACTGACATTAATCATCCACCAGCTCTACACCTACCCCATTAAATCCCTCCAAGGCATCCCCATCCCCAGCGCAACCTTCACCCGAACCGGTTTCCCCTATGACCGCCACTTCATGCTCCTCAAGGTCCTCCCCAATGGCGAATACAAGAATATGCACGTGCCCCATTTCCCCGAGATGTCGCTGTTCTACACCGATATCATCCACGGCGATGACAACAAAAACGCATCAGAATCCGAGTCTAGCAGGATAGAGGTTACATATCGTCCTCCCCCCACTGCTGATCAACCCCAATCTCAACGGAGGTTGGAGGTACCACTGGTACCCAATACGGCTGGGTTAAAGGAAGTAGAAGTTATCATGCATCAGAGTCCGACGAAGGGATATATCATGGGGGAGGAGTATAATGGGTGGTTTAGTGAGTGTTTCGGGTATCAGGTGGTGCTGGTGTATTTGGGCGGCAATTACAGGGGTGTTCTGGGGAGCTTTGCGCCGGAGAAGAGTGCGGCGCATAGAGGGACGCAGGGATGGTGGAGGAGGGATGGGGTTTTGGGTCTAGGAACAGGACTGGTGGGTGTGATGATTTTGTTGTCTTGGGTTGGTATGAGTATGGGCTTGCTGGGGAGTATAGGAGCAACAGGAGCAGCAGGGGCTGTGTTTTGGTATGGAGCTGGATGCAAGAATAAAAAGGAAGAGCAGATCACTTTCGCTGATACGGCGCCGTATCTAATTGTGTCGCGCACTTCAGTCGATGATGTCTCGGCGCGGTTAGCTGGGGATGAAGAAATGGATGTTACCAAAGCCCGGCCAAACATTGTGATATCTGGTGCGGAGACGGCGTTTGAAGAGGATTTCTGGGCTGAAGTGCAGATTGGAGAGCTTGGCTCGGCGAAGCTATTGCTCACTGCCAACTGTGTGCGGTGTCAGAGCCTTAATGTTGATTATGCGACAGGGAAGATGGGCACGGGCGAGTCGGGGACTGTGCTGAAGAAGTTGATGAAGGATCGGCGTGTTGATAAGGGCGCCAAGTTCAGTCCAGTGTTTGGTCGATATGGGTTTTTGGATGCAGGGTCGGATGGCCGGACGGTGCGGGTTGGGGATGCGGTGGTGGTAGCAAGGAGGGTTAAGGAACGGATGGTCTATGGTAAGTGTGCTGCTGCTCTATCTTCTGAGAGTGATTATGTGACTGATTGATATAGATTGGCCAGGATTGACCAACTGAGCGGGTTTCCAAGGAAAGAGGGTACTAAGATACTACTTATATACTCCTAGATGTAGGATACTATGGATATTTGTTAGCGATAGAATTCTGATTGGCGATGACGTACCGGCCCAAACAATTACTCCTCACCACTTCCTCTCTTTCTCCCCTCATCAACATCAACATTAATCACCACCTCCCCTACAGTTCCTCTTCTACCGTAAGCACCACCATGTCTGAGTTTCCTCCGGCCAGTCTCCGCCCTCTTATTGAAGAGATCTTCGACCTCCTCCGCGCCCGCAAGGAGACCATCTCCGTTGCCGAAACCGTACCCCTCCCTTCCCTCACCCCACCATAGTCCCTTCACAACTGACCAAAGCGATTGATAATCAAGGCATCCGGCGGCCTCATCTCAGCCTGTCTCCTCTCTACTCCAGGCGCATCCACCATCTACAAAGGCGGACTTACGGTACATACCTTCCACTATACACATCACCTTTCAATAGCTAAACAGGACCAGGTGTACACCCTCGACTCCCGCATTGCCTACACCGGCTGGACCCCTCAAAATTTGGAAAATTACAGTGGCCCGACCCCAGAAATAGTGGCGGGGATCGCGGAAAATGTGCGCGGCACGCTGAAATCTACATATACCGTTTGTGAGAGTGGAACGGCAGGACCGACAGGTGGAACGACCAGGAATCGGACGCCGTGAGTGACCCAATCTTTACTTTTCTCTCTTTTAATGTATCCGGGGAAAGGGTCGTCGTATAAAATGATGCAAAGTGTACTGATACGTAGTTATGCAGTGGATATGTGGCGCTCGCAGTATCGACGCCGTCTGGGACGGTGACAAGGGAGGTGGAGACAGGAACCGCGGAAAGAGAAAAGAACATGGTGCTTTTTGCTGGGGAGGGATTGAAGTTGGTGAGGGATTTACTTGTTGGTGATGTTAAGCCTACCACTTCGGCATTGTAGTAGATAGATAAAAGAGGAGTGGAGTGGGAGGGGGTCAACTTTGGGTTGGGAATGTGAGTTTATTGATCCATGGATGTACTGAGACTGGACGGTGCTGTGCTTCTATTTCAGGCTGTGTATAGCTGATTACCTATTCGAGTACTAAGTTGATATGGCGAGGATTGATGCATTGCATTGTCGGTGTAATACACCTAGTAGCACCAACAAAATACGGTGTGCTATTCCAACTCATAGAAAGTGAGGGTATCTGCAGTCTTTGTCATGATATCATGCGAGAAGAGGAAACTGTGGTGCCTGAAAGGGTAATTCGGCATCGGTAAAATGCCGAATTGAATACGAACTTCCGGCCCAAACGGGAAACCGGCACCGCCCGGGTGGGAACACCGCCACAGCTTGTTCCATTTGCAGCCAATGAACGGCCACTATTACTGTCCTACGCGGGCTTCCTTATGTCATCGTGGGCCCGACCGTGGCGCAGCGCTCACTTGCATTTCCCGCAGTTTCTCTCTCTTCATCCCGCAAAAGGCCAAAAGATCTTCTTGCCTTCGTACCACCACTACTTACTACTTTGTCGGGCGCTTCTTTTCTCACACCATCCCCGAGTATCTTCACATCCCGGTCATTTCATCGTCGATATCATTTTATCGCAATACCTCGCCTTTTCCATCTATCAGCCTCATCGATCTATCCTCATCTGTCTCGCCCGGCGGGGTCATGGATTACTCCGTCAACCTCCGCCGCAAGGATACCACCAAGGGTCCGCCCTTGCGGATCCTGTCGCTTGGTAGGTATCTGTTCTAGATGCTCATAAAGATATCCCCACTAACCTAGCCCATGAAATGGCAGATGGCGGCGGCGTCCGCGGTTACTCCATGCTCATCATCCTCCAAGAACTCATGTACCGCGTCTATGTCGAATGCGAAGGCAAAGCCCCTCGTCGCGATGAAATCCCCAAACCCTGTGACCACTTCGACCTCATCGTCGGCACCGGAACCGGCGGCCTGATCGCCCTCATGCTGGGTCGGCTACGACTGGATCTCGAGACCTGCAAAGATGTCTATGTCCGCATGACCCGCCGCGTGTTCGAAACCGACAAGACCTTCGCCGGCATCCCATTTCATAAAACACTATTCAAGGCTTCCAAGCTGGAAGAAGCCATCCGTGAATGTGTCCGCGAACATACCGTTTTTGAAGCGGAGGGGAACGATATGAGTCCGTCGGCGCGCAATTCGCTGGCCAGTGCTCCTTTTAGTCCCAACTCCATGTCAGTGCCCCAGCGCTCGGGCAGTCGGGCTAGCTTCAGTACTACTACCTCCCATTCGTCGGGTCATGCTAGTCAGCGCAATTCGACGTTTGTGAACGGCTTACGCTGGGGAAATCCGGATGCGCTGTTGTATGATAATCGAGAGTATCGGACGAAAACGTATGTTTATCCCTTCCACTACTTCCTCGCCTTCTTTTACTTCTTTCTTTATTTATTTGACTTCCTTTGTGAATATATGCTGACTGATCAGTGCTGTGACTGCACTCTACAAAGGTACCACGTCCCGCAACGGCTCGACCGTCCTCCTCCGGTCCTACGATTCGCGCAAAGAGCCCCCGCCCGAGTTTAACTGCACAGTCTGGCAGGCTGGTCGTGCCACTTCTGCCACCGGGCTAGCCTTCAAGCCCATTCAGATTGGACAGCACGTCTTCATCGACGAAGGTGCCGGCACCTACAACCCCTCGCCGCAGGCGCTGGATGAAGCGGTCATGAACGAGTGGCCCGGTCGCGAGATCGGAGTGTTTGTCAGCGTGGGAACTGGCAAGCGCCCACCAGGCACCAACAATCGGCAACACGAATGGTGGGAGGACTTCTTTGGGGATGCCCTGGGCACGTTCGCGGAAGCTCGTCGACGCCTGATCGCCAAGATCGAGGGGTGCGAGGATATCCATTTGGCGATGCTGCGCGACCATCTAGCTAAGCGCAATGTGAGCAAGGACAACTACTACCGGTTGAACGTCGAGGTGGGTGTGGGCGAGTTTGGAATGAATGAATGGAACCGGCTGGCAGACATCAGCACCAACACACGACGCTACCTGACGCGACCGGAGGTGAAGCACCAGATCCTGGACGCAGGTGTCAAGTTCGCCAAGATTGAGCGCCAACACCGCCGGCTGGCTGACCATGCGGCGGCGGCAGGTCAGGTCGATGATGGGACCTCGTCCATCATGCACAGTCCAGTGCTGTCGGTGCCGCCGCCATCGCACCCGATGGCCGTGGAGCTACCGGCTGAGCTGCCGGGTGACTTTGTGCCTTATATCACAACAGAGGACTCGCTACCGGCGCACCCCACGCCACAGGACGCCGTTCTGCCATCACCGGGGCGGACATCAGGCGACTTGGCCAGTCCGGGGGCTGGCGATGTGAGTCGGCCCAACTCGCGGGCGCATGGGTCCTCTCGACCCAGCACCGGGCATGGCCATGATGGGATGCCTCCGCCTGTGCCGCCCAAGACGCCGATTCCCTATCCTTCCGAGTATCCTAGTGAACTGGGAGGGATTCCCATGCCGATGCCGACGACGACCAGCCCGGGACATAGTCACAATGGAAGTTTGAGTGGGAAGATTCGACCGCCGTATCCAGTGGACGAGCCACCGGTGGTAAACAAACAGCGGAAGCCGAGTTACCATGTGCGGTCATGATATTATTACTTCACTTTCCTGTATCTTTCTTTATGTTTTTACCTTTTTTCTTTTTGACTTTTGATGATGAGTCTACTTCTATGGTGTATGAGGGAGGCGTCTGCGAGAATCCTGCGAGGACAGCGGGCGATTTCCGGTTATGATCTGATGGATACCCTAATGACCCGTTAATGAATATTACTGTTTGAGGCTGCTGGATAGTGGTGCGTAAATAGAATTAGTGTAGTGATGTTCTAGAACCACAAAGAGGAAATCGAAACGTTGAAGAAGCATTGCGACGAACCGTGGATCGGGATGTGCTGCGCCGCCCAACTGGCGCCGGATCAACCAACGATTGACTTCAGTTTCCCAGCCTCGCTTTTCTCTGCAACAAACAAACAGTTCGTCTTACGCAAGCCATTCGTCTCCCCCCTGCCTGTCTTGCTTTTCTGCACTTTCTCTTCCCCTTGTCTTCTACTAAGATTAGTTTTACATACCTCCCCCTCACTCCTCGCGGCATCAGATCTCGATCACTATCGATCTGGCACATTCCGATCCCACGGGCCTGTCGATCGCACGCCTTTTTTTGCATTCCTTGATCCGCTGTCAGTCCGACCTCGTGGAATAGCAGTCCAATCCAATCAATCAGTCTATCTATTTCGCCCCTGCAGCGCTTCATCCACTCATCCATGGCTGTCTAGCGCCAGACCCCGACTAATTATAACTCTCTCTCGCTTATCGCTTCTCCCCCCCTATCATCCTTCGCGCCCGATCTCACACACGACACCTTCTTCCTCTCTCTCCCACCTGTCAGCACGGCATCGATACGAGAGAGAGTAAGATACAAGACACTGCAGGCAGTGTCCCCGATGCAGCCGAGCTTCCCATCATGGACTCCGACAATCCACTACATCCTGTGAACCTCCTCGCCGCCCGCGCCGACAGTTCCTCCCGTCCAGCCTCCTACAAAGCCATTGGTATCTCTCTCGCCATCGCCTCGGGTTTCTTTATCGGCGTCTCCTTCGTACTCAAGAAAAAAGGCCTCCTCCGCGCCAATGTCAAGTACAATGAAGAAGCCGGCGAAGGGTATGGATACCTGAAGAACCTCTTCTGGTGGGGCGGGATGACCCTGATGATCATCGGGGAGCTGTGCAACTTTGTTGCCTATGCTTTCGTCGACGCTATCCTCGTGACGCCGATGGGCGCACTGACGGTCGTGGTGACCACCATCTTGTCGGCAATCTTTCTGAAGGAGCGGCTCAGTTTCGTTGGAAAAGTGGGCTGTTTTTGCTGCATCTTAGGCAGTGTGGTTATTGCGTTGAATGCGCCAGAACAGTCGTCTGTGAGTGATATTCAGGAGATGAAGAGCTATGTCATTTCTCCGGGGTTTTTGTCTTATGCTGGGGTAATTATCGTGGGGTGTGTCGTCACGGCGGTTTGGTTGGGGCCTAAATATGGCAAGAAGAGCATGTTCGTGTATATCAGCATTTGCTCGTTGATTGGAGGGTTGAGTGTCGTGGCAACGCAGGGTCTGGGATCTGCTATCCTGGCTCAGATTAATGGTGAGGCGCAGTTCAACCAGTGGTTTATGTACGTCTTGCTGGTGTTTGTTATCACGACGCTGGTGACTGAGATTGTCTATCTCAATGTGCGTATCCCTTATGTTCTTCATGATTTCGTTTGGTGTACTAATGCTCAGCCAGAAAGCCCTCAACATCTTCAACGCTGCGCTGGTCACTCCTACCTACTACGTCTTCTTCACCAGTTCCACCATTGTCACCTCCGCCGTGCTGTTCCGCGGCTTCAAGGGGTCCGTCTCCTCCATCGTCACGGTCATCCTAGGCTTTCTGCAGATCTGCGCTGGTGTCGTCCTGCTGCAGCTGTCCAAATCCGCCAAGGACGTCCCCGATGCCGCTGTCTTCAAGGGAGATCTCGACCAGGTGCGCGAGGTCGCCACGCAAGAAGAACCTGAATTTGAGCCCAAGGCCGACTCCATTCGCGCCACTGCTGCTATCATTCGTCGTATCTCCACCCCACGCCGCCAGATGGAAGCTGACGAAGCCCGGCGCTACTTCCACGACCGCGCTGAAGACCTTAAGCCGCCGGCGGAGAATGAGGTTATCGAGTGGGACGGGTTGCGCCGGCGCAAGACCGTCCTCGGCGAAGGTCCAACCACCCTGGGACGCACGCGAACCCTGCGCGACCCCTCGGTCAAGTATCCCGTCCCGCCACTGGGCATGTCGCACGTACCGGAGGAGCGACCAGACGAGCCGGAGCGACCCGACACGAAGCAGAGCAGCCATTCCTTCCTCGACGACCTGCGATCTCGCGCCTCGAGCCTCTTCCATCCTGCCTGGCAGCCCATCCAGGATGAGCATACCACGCCGGACCCGGTCTCCCTGACAGCTCTATCCGCCCACAAGCCGCATCCCGACACCCGCTACCCACAGTCCGTCATCCCAGACGAGTCACGCAGCCACACGCCATGGGGAGACGAACACGCGGCCCCTTCCCCGCCACCCCACGGCGGCACACGACGCCAATTCTCATTCAACTCGATGCTCCACCGCATGAAATCAGGCCACGAAGCAACTGCATCGCGAAGCAGCGTTGCCCCCCGACCGCCCCGCCACCGGGCACAGTCCGTCACCGAGGAAGAACGCCTTGGTCTCGTGCGCGGTGACTCCCGGGGGGAGTCGGCACCGGACGATGATGTGGACGAGAAGCTGGACCGACTCGACTCGCATGATAGCACCTTCGACGACGGTCCGGGCCGATTGCCCTCCGGACTAACGCATTCGCCGGAGCTCTACCCAGCCCGACTGCGCGTCAACCCGCTTCCACCGCTCCCGGATGAAGAGCCGCTCGAAGATCCGTATGCGCCAATGGATATGGGCCGGCGCGGATCGCATAGTAGCGCGGGGACGCTGTCCTCAAGCGGACGGAGTGTGGGCTGGCGCAGACATGGATCGGGAAGCAGCGGGGGCAGTGTGCAACTGCCAGGGAGACGAGGAGCATTCATCTAACGAAATTGGTTGGGCACATTTTGGGATGTATGATATGAGATAACGAAGATATGATATGATCAGGATGATATTAATGTATATAGTATGATAGATAGATGATGTTATGAAAGTGATGAAATATCATTATATGTAGCTGTAGAGGTAGACGAAGTAAATGCAAGCACACTCCTTTGGTTAGTCCTTAATTGAACCGCATATTTTGCCTCGGAGAGACGTTTCCCTGCTGCTATACTATCGACAGCCCTACACACAATTAGCACAACCCGTTCATCCATCCCCAACAAGAAAAAGAAAGAGGGAGAAAAGACATACCACTGAACCCTCACCAACTTAACCCCCTTCCACCCACCTCTCTGTATCTCCTTCTGTAGTTTTCCCGCTGCTAAACCGCCTCCTGCCCCTGCTACCTTTATTGCTGGTTTCAACGAAGAAGAAGAAGAATGGGCATTAGGTTCTCCCAGAATAACATGCGTGACTCCACGATGCATATGAAGCGAGAGATTTGCACCGTGCGAGATAAGAAGGTGTTTGAGTTTGTGGTCCGAGACTGTGGGAGTTGTTTGGCCGTTAATGTGGATGGTTAGGGAGGAGAAGATGGTAGATGTAGATATATTATTCTTGTTTCGTGATTCTGTGTCTGTGTCTGTGTCTGTGTCTGTTGTTTTATTCTCACTATCGTGATCAATTCTTATCCTCTTTTTCTCTGCACCATTATCCAATGACGTAGCATCTCTCTTCAACGATGATAGTATCTCACACCCTTTCTGCGGAATAGATATAGATAGTATAGATGTAGGTTGTTGGGGTTTCGGTTTCGACACCCCAAACATACTCCGTATATCCCTCTGCTGCTGCTGCTTTCTTCCATTCATGCTCGTCTGCATCTCTGCGGATATAGATTCCTCCTGAGTAAGAACCCACTCTCCCTTATTATCCACCCCATTGTCGCTGTCATATGTACAGTCCCCTCTCCCCACGCCAAACTGTCTGGTGAGTTTCTCTCGTCTCGTCTCGCGCCAGGAGGTAATTCCGCGGGAGGATCCGGGATCGGCGACTTGGTGGCCTGTGGAGGAGGAGTTCCAGGTGTCGAAGGTGAGGTAATTTGTCGGGGTGGGGGTGAGGGGATGGGGTTTGGAGGGAGGTGGAGGGGGCATTGTAGCTGTGGTTATGTGGAAGTTTTGAGGAAATGTGTATGTGTGTGTGTTTGTTTGGTGGTTGGAGGGGATACCATATCCGATTGAGAAGAGAGTTTCTTATCGGTCATGTGATTTGATCTAGATAAGTTATCTTATCGGGTGTTGGGATGGATGTTTGTTCGGTGGGTGAGTATGGTGGAGTGTTTTATGTTGTATTTATTGATTGTAGATAATATTTGGAGTTGAGATGGTGATTAATTGGGTAGTAGGGAATTAGTATGGTGGTAGTGTAGTTTTGTGGGTATGTGATTATTACTCCTACTATCATGATACACTCTAGGTCTATACAGGATATGATATATATATACATGGCAGTGGACGAAGAACTGTACTTCTACATCCACGAAAAGAATAGTATATCATCAGCTAGTATAGATTTTAGCTTATCACTACTACTAGTAACAACAACAAAAGCAACAATACTACTACTACTACTACATCATGAATAAGCTGATTTACCTCACCTAACCTCGCCTTGCCTGACATAGCATGATCCGTCCGTCGTATTCCTTATGCTTCACATAACTGTATCTGAATCTACCAGACTTGATCTACATGAAATCCTACATAAGTACATACTTTATGCTATGCATATACTCTACATAAGTATACCATCCATAATATTCTACATATAACACCAGACGATAGTGATATAATAATAATATACAGTCTATGGCAACTCAATCCCTCGCACAAATCATCATAGCTAGCTAGTATATCATAGACTAGAGATCATACCACACCCTCACTCACATTCCAACCACCACCCTCCCCCAGAAAGACGGTGAAGGGAAGGCAAAAAAATAGAGAGAGAGAGGGAGATAGATGAGCTCATTGTGGCTGGCTGGCTGACGACTAACCAACCTGGATAATATTACACAAAAGGTGGGAAAGAGTTTGGGATGATGCATCCTGCACGGGTTTGTGTAGCCTTGTTCTAGCCTCTGTGTAGCCAGCATTTTTCAAGTATGTAGGATCATGTATGTATGTATGTATGTATGTATGTATATGTGCATGTATGCAAGTAGTAAGTAATAGGGATATACTGAATTAAGCAAAAGGAGATTAAACTTAGAAAAACCTATCAGGATAAGGATAAGGATGGAAATAACGGTGAAAAAATGAGTGGCTAATGAATGAATCAAGGGATAAACGTTAAACATAATGCCTGGTTCGATAAGATTTTATTACGGATTGTGTAAGAGAAGCGAACTAAGAGTACATATCATCTGTCAGCTGATGCAGGGTCATCATCATCATCATCATCGTCATCGTCTTCGATTCAGTTCAATGTTATGTATGTATCTCTATCTGTATTTCTGTATATGTATGTACGTTGTGCAGCAGCAGCACTCTGCACTACTATATTAGGAAACTTTTCATAACCTACTTACTAGTTAAGTTAAACCCTACTTCGATGGTGGTCAGTACTTATCTATTTCTATCTCGTGCAGCGATCGACGGACTGCTCATATATTATCTGTATTATCTATTCTACTTTATGTATCCTACCACTAGTATCATAGGCAAGATATAACTGGCAATGATAATATACGTATATGTAGGTATGCATCACGGGTTGTTGCAGCTGAAACCAAACAACGCCATCCCCAACGCAAGGATAGTAATTAGTAGTGGTACTTACTCACTAGTAAGTTAGTAGTTAGCGGTCTGCCTGCCTGTCTGCCTATGTCTGTCTGCCGTGTGTGTGTTCAATTCCCGTCTGTCTGCCCATCACGTTCATTTTTTGCCAACTCACTGCCAGATTAATCTCATGCCCTTCCCCTCTCCTCCTCCTCCTCCTTTCCTCGATGTGCAAAGATACGTGGTCGTCTCCACCGCCAGTCGGTGCGCCCCCCCTCCCTCCACCTCCTCTCCCACTACTTTGTCACTAATCAACTCACTGCCCAATCATGATCTGCACAACCCCTCAAGTCGAGAACATCGCCTCAGACAACCGGGCGACGAGGGTCCGTGTCGCTTGGCGCTGATCATCGTGGCCCTTTTGGTCTTCCCTTTCTTTTTTCTTGTGTTGCCTGTTACTGTGTATTCTCATCCCATCCCATCCCATCCATCTCATCCTGCAAAGCCCGGCTTCCCCGATCTGGTAGGTCATCTACTACTGGGCTTGAATGTACCGTATCAGGAAAGTAGAACAAATAATTATAACCATGAGAATGAGAAAAAAAAAAAAAAGGAAACCCCACTCATCCTATACATACTACAATACTACTCGTCTCTGGAACGAGCTATTTTGAACCGTGACATCAGCCACCAACAATCCGATTCTTCCCTGGCCGGTCGCATTATGCCACTGACAACAACAAATCCGGAAGTTACAGCAATCCGTCAGCGAGTTCTTGACCGCTCATGTCCTTGTCTAGGCAGCAGCCTCTTTTCGAATTGCTCGTCGTGAAAAGACGATGGAATAATAAGAAAAGTAAGCGGCAGATATTGGAGGAGGAATTGGCCAGAGTGAAATCGTTCAAAGCTTATTGCACTGGCTATCCACCTGCGCAGTCGATCGTGCACGGGTAACAACGGAACATGCAATGTAAGGTTAATTACTGCGTGCAGCAGTCCTGACCACTCAGGTTGGTTCTCCCGCCACTGTCCGTCCCCTCTCGCTACCGTTAAGATGAGATGCCTCAAAATCATTCCTGGCCCTTTTTTACGGCACCGCTACAGAGGCCAATAACGCTCCGGAAAAAGGGAGGGGATGGGGATGGGGGCCGTGCTGGGGACACTGATTTCACGTCGAATCTCCCCCCTGCACGCGCCCGTCCAATCGACTTCGTCCGACTTTGTCCGGATGAAGCGACGGATTCGGGCTGAACTCGGCTGTGGGTGTGCTGGATTGGCGACCGGGGGGGTGGATTGGAGCCGTTTTAGTGTGGTTTCTTGGTGTCGCTGAACAGTTTGAGGGGACACAGCCAATCGAGGCGCGGATTCCCTTTCCCTAGTTGGAGGCCGGTCATCGACCAGAGCGGCATGGATGCGTTGAGATCACTCGTGCTGACTGACGAGATGCACGAGACCCGGGAGTTGGGGGCCATATCACATTCCGGCCGGAGAAGGAAACTCGATCAGCACGGAGTTATATGCCTTTTGCCGAATATGTCATCGTCTTCTAGAATGGCAAATCTTCCCTTCCCGTAGATTTATCGCCCTTTGTTCGGAGGGCGTCAAGCTACTCACTAGCCTAGAATTTGTCCTCGACCGGTTATTCCCGTGGCCAACGTTGCACAGCAGGGGAGGAGGAGGGGGCGCGCAATGTAATCCTCGCCCATTATCCGGAGATTCAGCATCCGCGTGAGCAGCTAGAGAGCTAGATCCTAAGGAAGAGCTGGGGTCATTAGGGGGGCAATGTTTAGTGTTAGTGCTTCCAGATGGTACTGAGGCAGAAAAGAAAAAAAAAAAAAAGAAATTAAGAGAAAAAAGAAAAATTAAAACCAAGAAAAAAAAGAGAAGAGAGTGGAGGAGTCTGTCTTAGTGTTTGTTGACCTCCATTGGAACAAACTAGCGCCCTGCTAAGGTCCAAGTAGTAAAGCGACAGACCGGCCATCTAACTAACATCTGCACTATGCCCAGTGCGCGCACTACCTCGGTACCACCATCCTGGCGGCTGCAGGTTATCGACTGCTGAAGAATGAAGCAGTTCGCGGGTGCAGTGACTTGGGAAGCGGTCCTTCCCTGGGGCGTGCATGGCAGCTGCAGGTACCGCCGGAAACCTGACAGGCGCGTTGTCGCTAGTCTGGACGGGGTCTCATGAAACTGGAGTGTGGAAATGAGAGATTGGGGGGGATGAGAGGGGAACAGGGAGAGACGGTTGGTTAGTAGACAAGTCCAAGGCCGTCCGTCGACAACCGGACCGATAGCGATCTCAGTCATAAGCGACCCGAGAGGAAGTTATCCACGCATTGGCGGTACAAGAGGAGGTGCGCCCCACCCGTCAGGACCGGAGTAATTCCTATCCTGCTTTGGATTTGGTTCATGTCTCTTCCATGAATGATCAATCGATCAATCAATCAATCAATCAATCAATCCGAGTGGAGGGGGAGGGTTTATGGACAAGTCTCGTCCGAGGCTCACATTGCTCCGACGAGTAAACACTTAATTAAAAAAAATAATAAATGAGTAGGAAAAAATAATGACACCACGTAATGACGGGGATGTGTCGATAAATTAATTAAAAGAGAGGGAGAGAGAGAGGAAGATGATAGAGACAGTGTGAGAAAGAGAGAAGAAACAAAAAAAAGAGGGGAAGCGAAAGGCAAGACGGATCGATTTGTTCTCCCTGCATTTACGCAGTTGAGTCTAGCGTGACCCGGACGGGCCTTCAACTCGCTGAATCCTGAGCTCTTCACTCCGCGGTTGACTCCGGCGCCAACTCTAGACCAACTCCTGTGAAGTGGGGTTTCCAAGCCTTGTTATTTGTCAATTGGCATCCTCGGGCTAATTGGGAATTCGCGGGAGAGGGAAAGAGAAAATATAGCGTGCTGGTTTGAGTACTTTGGAGGGTGGATAGTAGTAGTGTTAGTAAGTCTCATTAGTTAGTGTAGTGTCTCTTAAGTCTAGTCCGGTCCAGTCCAATCCAACTGTCCACGGAATTGAAGAGGAGAACCAGACACTAGCCAGGATGTTATGGCACAGAAGTACCTACTACGGGCGTAGGACTCTGCATGCTCTGCAGCGCCGGGACTAGCGCCACAGGGTTCCTGCTCCAGCAAAAGGTTTGCCCAGGATGCCCAGGGCTGCGTTGTAGCAGGATGGCGCTGGTCGGCGATAGCTGCGGTGCAAGTTTGAACGACCTCCCGATTGGATCCATGACCCTGACCATGTTCAACTGAAGGTGAATAACTCCGTCGGGGCCAACCATCTTCGCCGTCTACCCTGCTGTATACTCCGTCAGGATGAGCTACAGCCCCGCAAGATCTGCTGTATGTACGACGGCTGCGGGTGTCGGGCCGTCGGTAGCGGACTTCCAAGAATGACTAGATAGATCCAGCAGTATGGCCTTGTGTCTGGCTTGGAAGGATCACACCCTCTCTGGGCCCCATAATGATGGGCACATGGGGTGGATGGGCTGGTCTCAATTTCTATCTTCCAGTCAGACACAGAGGATAGGGAGACTAAAATAAAAAAAGAAAGGAAAATGGACCAAAAACCAAGACGGATGGAAGAAAAGCAAAGCAAAGCGAAATTGTTAAGAAAAAACAACAATTGAAGAAATACCAGGTAGACATAAAAGAGTAAAAGACTGGGTAGATCCTCATCTTAGACTGCACGGCCCTGAGCGATCCCCAGCTGGTAATACTGAGACTAACTCCGACGGTCATTCAACCTGGTCGATCATTGGCGTCTCGGCACAAGCTCGGAGGGGACAGTGTTGCTTGTGTCGTCTGTAGTGACGGTGGTGTACTTCTTTCATTTCACGGTGTAGTTACTCACGGAAATGTCAACCAGGTGTGGATAACTATCGCACCGACACCCTCCAAATGACTAGTCTGGTTTATTTTCTTTCTATGGCGCTCAACACAGACCGCTTGGTGCATGGTGCTTGTGAGAGTGTTGAATGCCAGATAGATGTGCATTTGGTCTTACCTTCAGTGACCAATACACTTGCATATTCACTTACAGTAGTCGTGCTTCTCAACTCTGTCGGTCGGTTGGACATGTGGCAGGGACATGACAGGCGGGGGGCGCTGCTTGGTAGCAGCGGTCGGTCGGTCAGTCAGTCAGTCAGTCAGTCCTTCTCAAATTTTCGCTCTTGTTTGGCGTAAGAGCTAAGAAGCAAAGGCTGTGAGAGCGAGAAGCACAAGCTCCCCAGGTTTCAAGGTTGCTTGCTTGCTTGCTTGCTGCACCCTGTCATGCCTGACATCCATGGCACACACTACCAGGTAGCTAGCCTGTCATTGGATGTTTCTGGATACGCTGTTCAATCCTGGATCCAAACTAGTAGCCAGAACATCCATCTCCATTGCCTATAGCATGGACGATGAATGGACAACCACCAACGGATGGCTACACAAGAAGTAGTCCTGAACTAGACGCGCTTAACGGTCGGAAATAAAAAGAGTCCTGTCCAACAAACTGAAACCCATAATCCCCTCATCGGCCGTCCTACTCCGTCCGGGACACCCCAACCTGTCAACCCAAATTATTTCCCACCTCTCCGTAGTTTCTCTCACCGTAACACCCTACTAGGACATAGTAAGTAGGCTTGGTGTAAACTAAAGTCGTAGTACTCGTAATACTCCCCCTCGGGCCGGAGGTGAGCGAAAAGCAAATAAAGGAAAAAAAAAAAAAAGAAAAGAAGGCAGACAAGGCCTTGTCTCCAACAATGGGAAGCTTCAGCTTTCTCACTCTCATATTTTTTTTATTCCCGTACCTCTGATACTGAAAGAGTAATCCATAGTCCAGTCCAGTCCAAATCAGTGGGGGGAAAATTAGGGAGTTTGGGCCTCCCAAAAGTGGGACAGAGAAGAGTGTCGTGGACCAAGATCGCTAGTCTCCTCCACCTCACGCAAGGGGTCGCGAGGGAGAGTTGCTGCAGGCCCGCAGGAAGAAGGTTCCCGGGCCTATCGTTTGCGCCCCCCTCCTCCGTCAGCCGAGCATGAACAGCTGGAATGATAGGGCTTGTCAGTCAAATGACAGTCGCCCTTCCCCCTCCCTCTTGCTCCCTCTGCTCGCCGGAAAAGAAACGATGAACCAGCGGTGAGGCCTGGAGGCTGTCCTTTCTGGCTGTTGAGTTCATGCCCTTGCGCCCAAAAAAAAAAAGATCCTGTGCGCTTCATGACCATGAATCCAATTACACCGGATTGTTCGCGATCCCGGCTTGAAACGACCAGGGGCCAGTCATTCAACCGCGAGAGTCGAGCGATAATCAAGAATTAATTACTGTATTGCTGGAGTCAGGGAACTGGTCAATGCCTCACCGGCTCCATTCCTGGAGCTAGATAGATGATGTACATCAGGGTACCCATAATCATCGTGCGGGAAGAGCCCACTTCCCTGGGTGTTGATGGATCAGGATACTCCATCGTGACTCCATAGAAGCTCTGCACCAACCTCCCTCAAGACGAAGGTTTCGCCGATCTGAGACAGATAGATTGATAGATTCATACTTACCTACCCTTCTCAACAAGCTGCTGGAGAGAAGGGGAATGGTGTATGGACTGTCGCCAGATATCATGGGCCCTTTCCTGTCCATCCTGACGTAGCTCGATTAGGTTCCAATGAGCCACCAGACCTGCGTAAGATGGACTAAAGCCCGGACGAATCTGGAAATTAACTCCAGATCCCTCACATTGACGACGAGCCCAATACCCCCAATACCTGGCAGCACGACTAGTCGTAGCCCAGGCTAAGCTGGCTCGTGAAACGCCAGCATTCCACCAATGACAACCCCAGTCCCATGCATCGGCGGGGAACACCCATTCATCATCCTCAGCGGAGAATTAGTTTAGGAGGAATGAGGTCGGGGCAGACTGGCCAGGGTCGTGGTCGATTACCCGGGGTTGGGCGCTTGACCGACTCTGCTGGTCTGATGTATCCAACGAGCCGCCTCATCGGGTGAGACGAAGAGTCTTTCCGCCACCTGCTATTGATTGAGAGAAAAGAGGCAAAAAGCAAGAAGAAAGGGAGGTTGGATTTTCATTCCGACCAGGACTACTCCTAGAAGAGCGGTAGAAGAGAAAGATGCTGGTTTCTTTTTTTTTTTCTTTTTTTTTTTCTTTTTCTTTTCCGTTTTCTTTTTCGTTTTCTTTCCGTCTTTCTAAGTCTTCCTCGCTTGCCCCCCTTTATTGGAAATGGTTGGGGAAAGAAGGCGGGGGGAGGGGAGAGATGAGTTGGTTCCATTGGTGATAGACTGATAGTACTTACCTATTTACTTACTGGGAAGTATGAGTCCTTCCAAGATGCTACAGTAGGGGCAATAGAAATGAAGCGGCCAGACTCAGCCGAAAACAGTAAAAGCGCATGATCTGGCGATGGAGTTGCGGGCTGCTCCGTACCAGGTATCCATGTAGGTCCGTTCGTACCTACTGGAAGAGCTGTCCGTCTGTATGCAAGCAGGTAGGCAGGACTGGGATTAGAGTATTCTGGACGTAACCGGTCGGGAATCTGAAGACAACTGACAGAATTTTAGACCGAAGCTAGTTAGTCAAGAAACTAGGATGTCTCTGCTCTGGAGCTTCCCTACCGACCGATAAGACGTACAACTGACGGGGGTGATGGATGTATGCGTGTATGAGTGGGTGTGTCTGTGTCTGTGTGTGTGTGTGTGTGTGTGTGTGTGTGTGTGTGTGTGTGTGTGTATGTGTGGGAAGACGAGCAGACTTGATCGACTGGGTGCTCGCACGCCACCCTGCCTGCGTGGTTGTCTCTCAGCCAGTGGTTTGAATGGCCATCTGCAGGAATCCCTGTCCTTCGGCCTCATCCTGGTCGCTTCTTCTTCTTCTACTTCTGCTCTGTGCAACAAAGGAGTGGGCTGCGCTTGCTTGCATGACCTTTACCCGTTTGGAGGCATTTTGTCGTGATTAACTTCTGGGCTTGGGTTTGACGGGCAGAAGAGTGAAATTATGCCAGCTTTATGGGATTATGTCATGGATTACGGATTATGGATTATGAATTATGGATTAGTTAGTACGAAAGTAGAGTCCCTAAGCTGCTGAGCACTATGGGAGGACCATCCCCTCCGCTCCCTCTCTTCAATTTTCTGATCGATTTATTTAGTGATTTACTGATCCCTTGACAGTTTAAATGGTTAATCGCCTTTTTCCTTCTCTCATCTGTCGCCGCCTCACACAGTCTCGCAGCAAATCCCGGCTAAGATATTGTACTTCATCTAAGAGTTTTTTTCTTTTTTTTTTATTTTCCACCCTACCAGCTTGGCCGACTTAGCTTCGGCTATGACCAGTCACACCAGACTCATCTAAATGTAGTGACTTGTCAGGCGTTATCCCAGTAACATTGAACCACCTTTTAGTCAGAAAAGAAGGGGAGGTGACGCTGGGCGGGGCCCGCACCCTAACGCCCTCCAGATCGTCCCGAAAGCCTTAAATTATTTATCGCACACACCACCAGCCCCAAAGGCCAAGCCCCCGGGCCAATAGAGCCCTCGTCCCCCCGAGGGGAGGCTCCACTTGGCCGCGAGGCTATTCCTGGCTGGCGTCTGCTAGTCTGCCCCTAGCAAAGATCTCGTATTGACGGGCTCGTCCAGACTTGACAGCGATCAAGGAGGATGGCTAGTTCAGTGGATCACGACCGAAAATCTCAATATTATTCCATTGCGACCGTGTCCTCTAGGTTAGGTAATACTCTTACGGCATTCTTCGGAATAAATAACAAAATAGCAAAATAAATGAAGGGTGACAATGTGAGCGGAAAAGCAGATAGGGTGCGAGATTAACCACATCGAAATTACTAGTACTAGTACTATCTAGTAGATAGTAAAGAGGGATTGTTCGGGGGTTGGGTAATATTGCATCCCTTGTAAAGAAAATCTCTTGGTGTGCACCTCCTCAACCACTCACGCATTTCCCTCACTTCCGACGCTGACTCGATCGCGCGCGCGCGCGCTCTCTCTCATCTCCCTTCCTCTCTCTCTCTCTCTCATATCACCATCTCCTTCTGATCCTTCCCCCCTCCTTGCCAAGTCACCGCCATTTTGAAGGCGGTCCTCTTTTCGGCGGTTCTCTCGTTTCGAGGCTGAAAGGACACATTGTGATAGTTGATAGTTGATAGTTGTTGGATCTCAAGGTTTTTCACTTTCAGATAGTTCGTTGGTCTGTGTTGAATGCTTCCCGCTGCTATACTTACTTTCCCCTATGATCCACATACCGTTCACATCTTGCATCAGCTCTATTGTTGCTGCGATGGCGGGCTTTGTATGACCTGCCTAGACACTCTAAGTATGACTACTGTATGTACATCTTTGTGGTCCCCAAGTCCAACATTTCAGGCTTATGGCCCTACTAGCCAGTAATCCTTCTTTTTGTGATTCGTTCCCTGGTCGCTCTGGGCCATTCTGGCGCCCTGCTACTGGTGGCGGATCTGAATCCACATTTGCGTATGGACTATCTACGGAGCAGGTACCTTTCATGCATCGAGCTCGTCACTGATTGACTTGCCGTCAGCACTCTACTTAGGCAGCGCCAGAATGACTCGTGCAGGTTAAGGATTAAACACCAGAAATAAGAATACCTTACAGCATGTAGGCTGGCCGGTCGGCAAGCATGGTTATCGTTCAATCCGCACCATCGGACGACATCCTACGTATCTACGTACTAGTACTTGCACACACACACACACGCACGCACCTGCTCTACTTAGATAATAGTACAGGATCGCCTGTCCACTGCTATCCATTGATTAACAGTTGTACTGGGAACCGTCTACAGTCAGTCGCAGTCCTACCAACGGTATATCCACAATGGGCAAATTCTGGACCCATGGATGCTGTCCATTGGTTCGCCGCCCCGTGACAGAGATACGGCTTGAGCCATTCCATGGGACGACGCGGTGTGGGACCCGGGCTCAATCGTGGAGACACCTGTTCGAACCTGGAACTGAACTGGAACACGCCTGTCATTCCGTCATCTGGTGGTTTGCTTTGCTTTGCTTCCGTGGTTCTTCACAACCCGATCTAAGCACTACTGCACCGCTGCTGCTTTGGCTGCCTAGGCTGCTGGCTTTTGAGACATCACTCTCACAGGTCGTAGGATGGTTGATCCTCCGATCACGTTTCGAACTGACAATAGACTTTGAACAGAATAAACGAAAGAAAAAGAAAAAAAATAAATGAGTAGAAAAAAAAAAATAAAAAAAAAAAAAAAAAAAAAAAAAAATAAAAAAAAAAAAAAAAAAACTAAGCCAGTCTGCACCGAAGCTGGGCTAATTGACTAAATTTCAGACCGACCAAATCAGCTCCGAGCAACGGCGCCAAAGAATTCATGGGAGAATAATTCCATCATTTTCTTTCTGTTTTTCATTTTCGTCTTTTATGATGTTCTCATTATTATTAGTAGTAGTATTATTATTATTATTATTTTCCTCTTCTTATTATTATTTTCCATTTTTCTCTTTTCCCTCTCCCTCAGTTTGTGTTGATTTCGATCGTCTTCCAGTCGATCCAGCATCATCCCGGCAGCGCAGGACGATCGAATGACTTACAGCAACGCGATCGGTCCCAACAGTTCATAGTGGCTCCCGACTATCGCAGTCAATTGGAAGTGAAGGACTCACCAACTTTTTCCCTTTTTATCATTTCATTTTATTTTAGCGACATTTATTTTATTTCCTTTTTTTTTATTTTTACTTTTTCATCACTCCTCTCTTTTCTTTTTTTTATTTTCCTTTCCAAATTTCCCTTTTCTATAGCTTCTTCCCTACTGTACTGGTGTAATACTTCCCCCTCTTCTCCGAGGCTTTTGGGTCCTCCTCCACCCTTGTGAGAATTTGATTACCGTGATCAATATTTTATCTGAATAAAAAATCAATCATTTTTCTGCAATGGTCATGAAGAGCGAGTTAGTGAGTAGACATTGAATGAACCCGTCTTATTTCAGATGAGGTTTCCCTAATCAGATCGGTCTCCCGAGCTGGTCAGTAGGCGCCTGTGTTTTGATCAACTCTGGCTTTGCCCGCATTGAATTGTTTCTTAATGGTTGCTCGACCCTGCAGAACAGGACGTACGTCTTCTGCTTCTTCTGTGCCATCACTCTTCTGTCCATCCAGAACTCGGGTGTCTTTTTGTTCTTCCACTTAGGCTATCGATCTCATTGTTCACATCCTCGCTATAGTCATTGGTTATTGTTATTCCCACGGGTACGTGATCATTGATTTTTTTTTATCCCCCAAAGTCTGACATCTCCTGCGCACGCCTGGTTATTTTTCCTATGTATCGTGTCTGTCTTGTTGCCAATACCACCTCACCTATCAGTTTGCCGCTACTCTGATCTCCCCCCTCCTTCCCCTCTCTCTCCGTCATTCCCACCATCGTGTTCCCCCGGAGCCAATCTGAGGCCAGTGTGCAGACACCGCGTCGGTTGGATCATCGCTGTCCTAGCCCAAACGGTGGTTCCTGTCCGGCGTCTTGTTTAGCTTATCCGGCTGATGGTCCTTGCTTCGTGGCGGATTCGCGGAATCCTCACTGTCTGAGCTTGACACAGCACTTGTGGACTGGACCCTGCCAGAAGGAAGAGCCAGAGAGTGGGAGCACCAGTACCAGCACCGGCAGCAGCCTAGCAGGAAGAAGCAGCAGCAGCAGCAGGAGCACCAGCACCAAGATCCCACGGTGTAGTAGTCTCTCCGCTCTTCCGCAAGACGCACGGTCGTGGTCTCCCAGAAAATCCCACTCCCCTTCTTCTTCTTTTGCTCTTTTTAAGTGCGGGATCCACACCTGACTATTTCCCTTTCTGCTTATTTTTCCCTTTTTCTTATTCTAATTTCATCAAACCTTTTTTATTTTTATTTTTATTTCTATGATTTTCTTTTCATATTTTACCACTTTGATCGTGCATTCCTTATTTCTATTTTCCTCTGATGATTTTCTTTTTTGATTTATCCATTTCTTTTCAATCTCGTTAATCCCTCCCCCTCTTAGCTGTTGGGGGATTTTGCTGACACCTCTTTCTATTTTGATTTTTTGATTTTTATTCTTTTTTGACCTTGATTACTTTTTTTTTCTTTTCTCAATTTTTTTTTTCCCTTTCTCCGTTTTATTAAAGAGAAAAGAGACGGACCCAGGACGACTACTTAGTACATAGTTATAGTGACAGACGGTCCCAGTGATCCACTGCTCGGTCCCTCTCCAAGTTCCCTTTTGCCTCGTTCTTCAGAACCGACTCCAAACGGACCCGGCCGGGGCTGACGCCTAGATTGATACATATAATAGAGCAAAAAGGGCCAAACGCAAAAAGGACAGCCAACGAGCGCGACCAAGCTATAAGCACCAGAGACATTCGACGGCAGACAATTGCCTTGCAGCTTCTCTTACATTCCCGCGCCGCAGGTCTCAAAAGAAACTGGTGATCGAGAAAAGATCCAAATACACGTGCTGGTATGTGAGTGTATTTTCCTATTCTCTCTCGTTGAGCTTTCTCTCCTTTCATCCTGACACGCGCGCACGCGCTCTCTCCCCGTGAGGCGAGAGGATCGCTGGGTGAATTGTTTCTTGTCTTGTCTTGTCTTGCCTTGATCCCGACCACTTCCTGTTGTGAGAGTTCTGTTGCTGCTGCTTCTGCTGCTGTCCTTGCTGCGGTACGCGCCCAGCCGCCCGAGGACCAACCCCCAATGGCCGTTGCCGCTCCCTTGGTTCGATGAGGACACCGGACTACTGCAGATACGCTGGATTGTCTCTGCTCCACCTGCGACAGAGCAGATTTAGACGTGTCGTGGTTCGAAGTCTGAGAAGAAAGCATACCTTCCTCCCTTTCTAGAATATCCTTCTCTGCCCAGCACACCCACCGCCCTTCCCTTCTTGGTTTGTTTCCCACCTTTTGGCACCCGATCCCATCGTTTTGGCTGGTGTTTCGGCCGTCTTTCGCGGGCTTCGGTTGCACCCGTCAGCCGGAGATCCTCAGGCTGGGCTTGACTCTCTTTCTGCTGGCCGGTCCAGCGCCAACCCAAACCCAACCGAAACCCACCAGCCTCCCACTAAAACGCGGAAGCTGAGCGGCTGGCCCCCTCCCCTCCCTTCCTTTCCTTCCTACTAGATAGTACTATCTAGTAGTAGTAGTAGTACTTCCATAGTACTACTGGTCTCTCTACCACTATTCCACTCCCACTGGGTCTACCGTACCGAGTGAAAGCACGGTCTGACCATACCCTTTCCCCTCCCGAACCCAACCTGTTCCCCCCCCTCTCTCCCCTCTTTACTCTTTCTCCCCTCGGCCCATCCCATTTCCCTCGTCCACTCGTTGGCCATCTATGGGTGAAAAGCTGTCTCTAATTGCTTCCCCTCCCCGCCCCTTCAGCTCCGACCACACCTATCAATCCTCCTAAGGGGGGACAGCAGATAGAACAACAGAACCTCACCACGTTGGATCTTTGAGTTGGTACATCCTCCCTTTTTTTTGAATTATTATATTTTATTTCTTTCTATTTTCTTTCCCCTTTTCGGTTGTCTTGCCCTCTCTTTTTTTTTTTTTTTTTTTTTTTTTTTTTTTCCCTCTTTCTTTCTCTTCCCCCTCTTCCCGCCCACCGAGTTAAACGGGTTCCAAGGCGGATCGGTCGCGGTCCAGAAACCCCGGCGGCTGCAGAGAACCTCAGGCTTAGCCCGGGGGCGCCTGCGTTTGCTGTTTCTGCCCCAGCCTCCACCTTTCGCCCATGATCTGCTGCTGCGCCGGCGGCGCTGCAATCATTCCCGTCTGCCCTCCACCGCCTTGGTCCTTCTGCTCGGTCATGATCGCCCACGTCGAGCGTGTCTGACATTTGCTCATCCCATCTGTTGCCCTCTTTTTCTTTTCTTTCCTCTTTGGATTTTATTATCTCTTTTTTTCCCTTTTTTCCCTAAATTTCATTTTCTTTTCCTTTTCTTTTTTTTTTATTATTTCCCTTATCCATTTTGTCCTTTTTCCCTTTTTTCTTTTTCTCTTTTTTACCTTTTCGCTCACCTCTTTTCCTTACCCAAAATTAACTGCCCTTTTGGATTTCCCTCTTCCCAATTTCCACCCTAACCCCAGTAATTTCCATCGACCGACTTCCTTGGTCCGGATTACTATTTTTTCCTGGTCCCCACCGGTCTCCCTTGGCCTCTCCTCCGTTGCTGTACCATCCCTTCCGTTTGACGCCTTCTTATACATACACCTCCGCCTCTGCTTCCCTCCACCATTCCCCCCTCCATCAATCACGACCTCGTCTCTTGTCTTGCTTTTTCCCTGTTTCCCCCCTCTACGTGGCTATGTGGACGAACTGAACGACTTTCTTACGCCTGCTACTTCTCCATTACTCTTTTCTTTTTCTATTTTCATGACTCATTATTTTGCCCGTTACTGTTTCTCTGTCTCTTGCCAATTTGCTCGCATGAGGTTATTGACCCGTTCGTAGAACTGTCAGTGCCTGTATCGCCTCCCGCTCCTCGACGACCTGCTACGACCTGTTACGACGCCTTAACGAGCCTGTTCTCTGAACTCGTCGCAGAATCATCGCCATTCGCCCGCTTGACGCGTCTCATCTGTGCTACCGCTTTTGGTTGCAAGTCACCCAAACTGTTTTGACGTTTGATGCTGGACTGTCACGTCGCCTTCTCCCGCTCTGTTCTTACGACTTGAAACGAGACCCATGATTCTGTGCTTCTAAATTGGCTGAGCGATTTCTGTTAACCATCCGCAAGCGCTTGTTGTCCTGCTTTCATGGTTTCGCCTGTGACGACTCAAGATTCTTGAAAGTATCTGGATTTAGATTTCTGTCAGTACCCTCACTGCATAGCGATTTCCTCGTCCAGTTGCGCCGGCCATATCTTCAAGCGTGTTACGGTTACGACTTCCCACGAGCTTGCCACGATTGCACACCCTTGCATGTTCTGCGTTGCCTGTTAGAAGCTTCTCTTTTGTTCGGCTCACCTGCCAACTTGATCCTCTTGTGTCTGACCCATTCTATTGGTCGCGATACATTTACGACAAGTCTAAATCTCATCCCGGGAAGAAAAGAAAGCACCCACGAAGAGAAAAAAAAAAGTTCGCTTTGTTATTTCCTGCTATAGTCAGATCGTGCCTTTGCGAACTGACAATTATTTGTTGACAAAAGACCTGAAAACAAGAACCGACAAGTTTCACCTGCTCACGGCACGCCGGACACATCGTTGAGTCCGACGTCCGATCGCTCCCGTTCGCCTCACTTTTCAAGACCGTTACCCCCGTCAACCGAAAAGCTGGAGCTGCCGTCGATTTCGCAGGTCCACACCAGAGGTCCTGTTGATATTCCTTGGTATAACCACCACGCCGCGGAGCGACCCCTTTTGTCTGGCGACAAACTCCCAGCTCTCAGTCTACCAACGGCCACGCAGGCCATCTCGGGCCAGTCCTACCGGGCTAGCTACGAAGACGCGTCGGCCCTTGGTTCCAACAACACGAGCACTCGAACAAGTTTATCGGGAGCTGCGCCTGTAGTTAGTGAAGCTAGAAGCCCACCGCCTACGTCTGCAGACCTCGCGACAGGTGGTCAGGGCCGGCTCTCATTGGATTCCTCCACCCAAGAGTACTCGCTCCAACAAAACCCCGTTAGTGACGGATTCTATCAAAACCAGACTTCACTTGGCAGCATGAACCAAACACAATCCTACATCGATGTCCACTCATCGCACCTGTCATCCGCTCAGCCGTACGCGCCTCATGCCGCCACTGCGGGAGGGTTAGCTCATTACCAGTACCAGCAGCCACCTGTTCTGCAGCCAGCATCGACGACCTATGGCCCGGCAAGCTCGTATTCCCAGTATGCTTACCCTGGTGGAGTGACCTCCTCTCAGGGAGGTCCGCAACCCCCGACCACCTCCATGAGCAGTGGTGTCCCAACCCAGTTGTTGCCTTTACCAGGTACGTCCTACTCCATTTGTCACGAACAGCTGCACCCCGAATCTGACTGCATATCCATAGCTGTGGCAACGCATGGTGCTGTCCCGACAGCGGGTTATGGGAACACGACCGGGACCCCCTTACAAGGCTATGTGTATGATCCCACTGGCCAGGTCGCCCCGCCCGGAGCGAAACCGCGCGTTACTGCCACCTTGTGGGAAGATGAAGGCAGCCTCTGCTACCAAGTGGAAGCCAAGGGTGTCTGCGTGGCAAGAAGAGAAGGTAAGCATGCCTTCAGCTGCCACTTTCTGGCTTCGTGCTAATGTGTATCTGCAGACAATCATATGATCAACGGCACGAAGCTCCTAAACGTCGCAGGAATGACCCGAGGTCGCCGCGATGGTATTCTGAAGAGCGAGAAGGTCCGACACGTTGTCAAGATTGGACCAATGCATCTGAAGGGCGTCTGGTACGATTCTCTGAATGCTCGATTTCCACCAATCAGGACTGACTGAATTTTGCTCTAGGATCCCCTTCGAGCGTGCCCTCGAATTCGCCAACAAGGAGAAGATCACAGATCTCCTGTATCCCCTATTCGTTCACAATATTGGTGGTCTTTTGTACCACCCCACAAATCAGAGTCGGACGAACATGGTGGTGCAGGAATCGCAACAGCGGCGATTGGAAGGCCCTCAGGCTGCGCGAGCATCCCAGGGGCCTCAGCCGCCAGCTTTGCACCATCATCACTCTCTACAGGGCACAGTTCCTTCGCACATGCCGCAACCCCACACCATGGCTTCTCAGGCCGGTGCTCGGCCGGCGCTTGATCGAGCACACACATTTCCCACGCCCCCTGCCAGTGCCTCGAGCCTCATGCCCATTACCAACCCCAGTAACTCCTATGACTGGAACAACCAAGGGATGAACTCTGGGGTACCGAACTCCCAGCCGCTCTCTATTGACACGGCCCTGAGCAATGCCCGCTCAATGCCGACTACGCCTGCCACCACACCCCCCGGCAGCAACATGCAGGGAATGCAGTCGTTCCAAGGCCAGTCCGGGTATGATTCGAAGCCATATTACTCCGCTGCCCCGCCTTCTCACCCCCATTATGCTTCCCAGCAACCTTTGACTCAGACTGGTATGGCTTCCTATGGCCAAACGATCCCGTCTCATCCTTACATCAAGAGCGAGATGGGGCCCCCGTCAAGCCGGACGCCTGGCGGCCAGCCGGAGACGGACGCACCTGAGGTGAAGCAGGAACGCTATGCCCACAGTAATGGGCACGTTGGAAGCAATGGAGCTGAGCAAGTGCCAGAGCATGAGACCGAGTATGTGCAGCATGACAATTCTGGATATAACACCAACCGGGGCTCCTACACCTACACCACCAACACTTCGGTGGGCAGCCTGGCGGGGGACCACTCCCAACTTACGCCAGAGATCACGGGCTCGCCCACGCAACAGAATGGGTCTGAACGTATGACCCCCCGTACGAGTGGTGGGCCTCCGCCCCCTTGGGGCTCGGGATACAACACTCCTCCGCGCCCCGCCGCCGCGAGCAGTCTATACAACATCGTTAGCGACACCAGAGGAACATCGGGCAACGGTGCGACCTCTGACAATTACTCCGTTGCTTCGAACTCTGCTCCTGGGTATTCGACAAGCATGAACGGTTCCCTAGGCTCCAATAAGCGGATGCGGGAAGACGACGACGTGGATCGCATTCCTCGACCAGACAGTCGAGGAACGGAGTATGATAGCAAGCGCCGTAAGACGCTGAGCGAAGTCGGCGGTCCCGTTGGAGGTGTGCCCCTTGGGCTCCAGCCCATGAAGGCTGGCGGTGTCATGGGTCGTCGTCGGTAACTGTTCATTCCCGGAGTCGTCTTTCCTGACCAGGTGAAGATCTGGAGTGGCAAAAAGAAATAAAAGCAGAAAAAAAAAAAAGAAGAAATTTCCAAGGAAAGACAAAAATCTAGTTCTGTTATGGGTTATTGGTTTCCCTTTCTTGGAGTGAATTGAGGGGATTTTCACGTTCCTGGTTGTTGTTTTTAACTCTTATAATAGACTACACATTCAGCACGGCAGGGTATGGGATATGAAGCGACCGGGTGGAAGGCTATTCGTCACCACTCGAGCGTTTCAACAATTGCATTTGACAGACAGCGCCCTATTGTGTCTTTGCCTTTTGCGTTGGTTGCATGGTTTCTCGGATTGGTTTGAACAGTGTCTGGACACCGGCACTGGTAGGGATGGCTGCATTGCTTGGTCCCTCCACAGACCTGGTTTTCGATCGTTTGTATGTCTTCTGTTGCTTCCCCATGGAGGGTTTCCCAATTGATGGGAAGCCTACTCGCAAGGGGTGTGTTATCTGGGTTGTTCATGGAGCAGCGTTGGGACTGCGCGCTTCGCTTTTCTCACTTTCTCTACGGATCAAGCGAGGGATGGTCAGCGTTACGGTGCTTTTTGGTCATCTTGTGGTATGGTATGTGTGTGTGTGCGTGCGTGTGCGATTGTTTCCGACCGGTTATATTTAACGACCATGAAGTCACGAATTTCCTTGATGAGAACATTTTCCTTTTATACTGTTGTGGCTTTTCTCCATTCCTGCATCTTGGGACCGTTGGTCCTAGGTTTTTGTTTTTCCTGTTCTGACTGTATGGGCATTTAAAAATTCCACGGGCTATTCAAGAACGATTGAGAAACGTATGATTGTAGGAGATTCTATTGACTCTATACATTTACGTAGACGATTTGATGTTCGAATCGGATCAAGGCATATAACTGAAATCAATGTTTGGGGCAGTGAGAGATGAGGGGGAAAGGGAGGCGAAGGGGAGCAGCTTATGGCCTGATGAGGCTCGGCGGCTCAAATCCACGCTGCCTCTCCTCTCTCTTCTCTATTTCCGTGTGTTCTTTCTCCCTTTCGTCTTCTCTCTCGTCATTGCGTGTTGTCTTTCATTCCGTCCTCTTCTCTTCTTCCTCTGATCTCCCGTGCAAGTCCCAGCACCGTCGAGTGAATGTCTGGGAATGTGGCAACTAGACCCAAGTTATCTGCCAGCGTCCGGCCTCGCCCATAGTTGAAAGGCTGACCGTCCAGATCGGTGATCATGCCGCCGGATTCCTCATACACCAGCATGCCGCCGGCATGGTCCCACGCATAGGCACGATACTCGGGGCTTCGGGGGATACGGACCATCACGTTGCACCCGCCCACCACCAGGGCTGCATACTTGGCTTGCATGGACCATAGGTCAGTAACGGGCCTGGTGACACCCAGTCTCTCGCGAACAACCTGGTGTAGCCGCTGATCGATGTAGGGGCTCTCCATGCTCTCTGCAAATGCCAGATCGGGCTGGCCGGTATCGGTCCGTGCCAGGACGTTGTACACCTTCACGGCGGGCTGCAGGCGCTCCTTGCTCATCTGACGCTTGTATGTACCCTGGCCCCGGATTGCCGACAGCATGATCCCGTATCCATCCCGATCAACTGTGTCTTCGTGGACCACGGTGCTGTGGAAGTGCAGATTGGGATATCCGACCACACCGACCTTCTGCTCGCCCTTGTCGACAAGCGCCACGGAAACAGCATACTGCCGGCCCTGAATAAACGACGCTGTCCCGTCAATAGGATCCAAGATCCAGGTGCGCGTATGACCGGCTCCTTCCCCATTGCCGCCCAAATCTATGATGCTTAGCATCTCTTCTAGCGACGAGGGGGCTGCGACGATCTCTTCGCTCTCGGTATCATGCAATTGGGTTGTGGATACCAGCTGCCACACTCGGTCGGCTAGTGCGGGATCATTCCGCAGGGCTGATGCTGATTCCTCCCCGACAAATTTGTCGCTGGGGAAGTTATGGCGGATCGCACTAATCAAAATGGCCTGTGACGCAAAGTCGGCTATGGTCACTGGGGACGCGTCTGCCTTGTCGGTAGATCCCTTATCTGCCTCCGCCAGCATGGTCTTGGTGACTATGCTGGCTCGCTGGACGGCGAGACAGGCCACTTGAAGCTCTCTAGCGAATGGTGAATGGGCCATTGTTGTTGAGGTATGTTGGCCTGGACTAACATGCATTGACTTGCTGGTTAGAGACTGGCTAGCGGCGCGCGTGAATGCGCAAGTCTGCCGTACGTACCTTTCTGGTCTTCGGTTGCCACGGCGCTAGGACCACTGCCTGTTTGCACATCCGATTCGGCCTCTGAGAGGATGGCTGAGGAAATTCTACAGTATTCCTGGGGATCTAAAAAGTGAAGAAACTGGATAGTGGGAGCAGGAGACAAGCGAAAACAAGAGGATGCAACAGTGGGTATTGATGGCTGTTGATAGTAGCTCCAAGCCATTGACTGGGGCAGGAAATCTCCCAATGAGGAAAAGCGTTTCAAGCTGCATCAATTCACTACGGACTATCCATTCACCGGCCCGTGGGCGTGCGGACAGAAATGACCGAACGCACTTTTTCTACTCTATAACTAAAGGGTAAAGGAACATGCATCGTACATACAAGTGCTGAGCCGCCAGGACTACTTCCTACCGCCGAAGCTTGAAGCCGGGGTGGATCCAGCGTCTCTGCGCCAGGATGGCTGTCTTGCGCACAGATCAAACGATACACAGAGCAACTGCGGGAGGCTTCGGGAATCGATCTATGGGGCACTTTGCTCGTTCGCTCTCGCCTCTCGGAGCTCCCTCTGCAATCGCTTGGCGTGTCTAACCCCGAAGCCGTGGGTGTAGATTTCCCGCACCGACTCCAGAGGCATATTGTGCACCTCCGCATAGCAGAAGATGACGAAGACCCATCCGAGAAAGCAGATACCCGCATAGAATGCAAAAACTCCGCTGGGGGTCATAGCCTTCATCATGGACAGAAACGTCGACGAGATGATGATATTACAACCCCAACAGGTCACGGTATTCAGCATTGTGCCAAGTGCACGCACTTCTAAGGGGAGAAATTCAGTGCCCACCCAGGAAATAGGTGCGACACCAGCCGAATAGAAAGCAATGTACACGATCAGCGCGACAAGGAGAAGAATACTCGCCCAGGTCATCTCGTGCGGTCCGGTGACGCTCAGATCCGAATTCACAGGGATCCAATGGAATGCGATGGCAACGACCACCAGGGAGAGGGACTATGTCAATGTTAGTCAAAGCGACGATGCAAGCGAGCTCCATGAAGATGCAGCACTTACCATTCCCAACACGGTGACGAGAAGCATTGATCTTCTTCCAAAGCGGTCAATGAAGGCGAAGTTGGGGAATCCAAACACAAAATTCGTCGCTCCAACGACGATGGAGACGGCTGTGGCCTGATTAAAGCCGACTAGCGAGAACAATGTGGCGGAATAGTACATCAGCGTGTTAAATCCTCCTAATTGTGATACTGGATAATGTCAGCATCCATGATCGGAAACACGAGAAGGGCTCGGGTTTCTACCAGCCATGATAGAGCAGGCCGTGGCCAGGGCGCGCAAATTAGCGCCTACAGTGAAAAGTTGTTTCATCTGCCACCATAGGCTCTTGTCTGATACGGAAGCGGCAACCTCTTCAATAGAATGCCGAACCACCTTGATTTTGTTAACCACTTGTTGTTCCGTGGCATGAGGAAATATCTTTCGGATTACTCTCTTGGCTTCATCGTCGCGACCATGAGAAATCAGCTGGCGAGGCGTTTCCGGGCACAAGGGCATTGTAGCCGCCAGAGCAATGGCAGGAACAGCACCAATGGCAATTGTGTACCGCCAGCCCTGATGTACGTTAGTGAATGCGGCCCCGAGGGCATAGGCAATGAGCTGGCCAAAGGTCACACAAATGTTATCGAACACAATCAGTCGACCACGGAATCTGGCAGGTGCCATCTCTCCGATATACAGGGGAACGATCATTGCCGCTTCACCAACTCCAAAACCAACCACCAGGCGACCAACCACCATCTGGGCCAGCGAGAACGCCGTGGCTTGCAAGGCTGTTCCCACGAAGAATACCGCACAGCCAATATAGATAGCCAGTTTCCGTCCATACTTGTCTGAAGTCATACCAGCCAGAACGGCGCCGATCAATGCACCCCCTGAAGTTATGGAGGTGACAAGTTCCTGGTCGTTAGAGGACAGAGCCTGGCCGAGGTCGGTCCCAAGGCTGACGAGGACGGCGGATATTACACCCGTGTCGTACCCTGGACGAGTGAGGGGAAAGAACCATGTTAGCTGGTACTGGCTATGATGGGCCACGAAACGCTAATGGTCTGGGGCATGCCTACCAAAGAGAAACCCGCCCATGGACACCGTGCACGCAATCAGCCATACTGCCTTGCCAGGATTTGTCGTCTCGATTGAATCGTCCAAGCCCTCCGCGGCACCAAGGTTGTCAACGTGGAAAGTCTCTGGTTTCAGATCGTCGATGGCCGGCACATAGTCGTCTGCAGGATCCATGATGGTCTGGATTAGGGCTATGGGAAACAACCAAAGTCTAAACAATGAAACGGTATGCTAAGAAGATACAGGTTATGGATGAAGTGTTAATTAGATTACACCCGTGCAATGACCACAGAAGCCCGGCCGACGTGGCTAAAGACTGAGTAGGAGGATTATCTACGATGACAGCGGGCATATATGCAATCAGAAAGACTATTGCCGAGAATTGACCCCATGGCCATCACCCACATTCGAAGAGGGGGGTACATGCCTGCCCCCTCATTCTCATGGCCAACTACAGGACTCGAAGAGGGGGGTATGGAATGCCCGGGTATTGCCTCAAGGTTCGGCACGGTTCCATGGGTCTGTTTATGATGACAGCCATATCCCCAGGTTACCCCAGACTTGCTTGGACCCGGATATCTGTGTGTCTCCATTGGCCGATCTGCACATCTCGGGGTTGTCCTCAAACACCGTCAACCCCGCTAATATGACGATAAGTACCGGGGAATCATTTGCACAATAGCCGGGGTATGGGGCTCCTGTCAGAATCTGGTGGGTCTAGCTGATCTCTCGCGAATTGTTTCCATCACAATTCAACCGGCAAACGCGCGAGGGTTTTTACTCTGTCGGTGGTGGCGGTGCACAAACAGGAAATTCTCTCCGCCCTGGCTGGATGGCCCTGAATGGCAGTTTTGCCCGGCATCATGCTAGAATGACATGGCAGTAGCTACACATAGCCAGGGAGTTACGATGTTGTGAGCATGGTGGGATGCTTGGAAGGTCGGTATCTGCGGTTCACGAGGATGGGTTAGTTTAACCATTTATACCCTTCTCCTCCTGGTTTACCTGAGGTTATAAGTAGCTGCTCTCCGGACTAGAGAGCTTGCTGGTACGGGCCAGGAACCTTTGATATCTGAACCTCGTTCGTCATTCTGACCTTTAATTTATTGATCTACTGTGTTTCTCTTGCACGGTGTTATCGTGACGTCCTTAAGGAGCAACCATGTGGTCACTTTTCACGATCGCCCCTTACGCGTTCTTTATCGGGATCGTGGGCATCTCCTACTTCCTGGCATGGCCATTTGTGCAGTATATCAGAGACCCCAAAGGTATGTCCATACTCGTATATATGGCAGGTTATCTACGGAGTCCATATGCTGACTAGCGAGTGTCTCAGGTCTCCGAAAATACCCCAACCTTACACCAATCTCCGGGATGTCTGCTATACCGTTCATGCTCATGGCTTCCCGCGGGTTCCGGTCGCGAGAACTGCAGGAGCTGCACCAGGAGAAGCCGGTGATTCGTACCGGACCCAATACGCTCTCCTATGGCGATGTGCGCGCGATTAAGGACATCTACGGCCATAACACCAAGTGCATCAAGGACCCATCCTACGTGGTCACGGCAGGCACGCATTATCACCTAGCCGATGTGGTAGATAAGGGGGACCATGCGCGGAAGCGTAAGGTTCTGTCATCCGCCTACGCTCTCAAGAACCTTGAGACGTGGGAGCACAAGGTCAGCGACAAGGTCGAGAAGGTGGTGGCCCACTTTGACAAGGTGTGCACGGCCGCTCCGTCTGCGGCTGTGGCGTCCGGCAAGGTTGCGCCGGACCCCAAGGACCTGACGGTGGATTTTCGCGCCTGGACCAACTACTTCACGCTGGATGCAATCGCAGATATCGGCCTGTCGGAGAAGCTGGGCTTCTTGGACCAGGGCAGCGATGTCTGTATAGCCGAGCGGAAGGATGGGTCGACGTACACGGTGCACCTCCGAGAGGCGCTGTACCCTACGGCCCGGAAGCAGTCGCTTATTCTCTGGAACTACGAATGGTATCCGGTGCTGAACAAGCTGGTCAACGTGATCCCGTTCTTCGGACGGATGCAAAAGTCCTCAGACAACTGGGACAATATTGTGTGGCGGCGCAGCATCGAGCGCCTGCGACGGTACGAGGCTGGAGAGAAGCTCGATGACTTCTTCCAGGCACTGATGGAGGATAAGAACGGACGGGCCAACAACCTGGAATGGGGCGACGTGGTGTCGGAAGTGAACATCATGATGAACGCAGGCAGCGTGACAACGGCGATCGCGATCGCCAACGTGATGTACCAGCTGCTGCGGAATCCGGAGTGCCTGGCTAAGCTCCGGGAAGAGATCGACGCAGTTCTGGACGCGGACGAAGTCGTTGCGCCATACGACAAGGTGAAGCACTTGCCGTATCTCCGGGCGTGCCTGGACGAATCGCTCCGGATCTTTCCGCCAACGTCGCACGGGCTCCCGCGCGAGACGCCGGAAGAGGGAATGGAGATCCTGGGCCAGTGGGTGCCGGGAAAGACAACGGTCAGCATGTCGGCGTATGTTGCGCACCGCGACGAGCGGGCCTTCCCCAAGGCGGACCAGTACATCCCGGAGCGGTGGTTGGGAGAAGAAGGGAAAGCGCTGCAGCCGTACTTTGTGGCGTTCTCGGCGGGGGCACGGTCTTGTATCGGGCGGAACATCTCGTACTTGGAGCAGACGAAGATCCTGGCGACGTTGGTGCATCGGTATGAGTTTGCGCTGCCGTACCCCGGGTGGGAGCTGAAGCGACTGGAGACGATGAACTTGATTCTGGGAGATATGCCGGTGAAGGTGTGGCGACGGCAGGTGCCGGCCACCGATTAGGGGGTTATTTTGTTCATATTCTCGTTCCTAGACTGGCTAGACTTTTTTTTTTTCTTCTCTTCTTCGTGATGAATGATGAAAACATTGGTAGCGACATTGCACTAATTCCGTGGTGTTGGATGGAATAGTCCGTAGCTCCCAGTAGCTTCAGTAGTTTCAGCGGTTTCCTTGGTAGACGCTTGATGAGCTAGCCATACATCTCAACCATCTAGCTGCGTAGAAATAGTCTCACGAGGGATCGTCATGGAACCCCAACGTGTTCGGCCAGACTGGGCCGGGATCATCGGAGCGAGGCTGATGCGTCCGTTCCGTGGGGAAGCTATGCAGTATACTAGCTATCCCTTTCAGCTCAGTACAGTCAGTCAAAAAGGGGAAAGGGATATAACGCCCCGAATGCCGAGCTGGGGTAGGAAGTGGAAGCAAAGTGCGGGGGAAAGAAAAGCACAGGGACGCGGGGAAAAGTAGCTGGATCGGGTATGTCGGGGCCGAGATGGAGGTCAAAGTGGGTTAAAGCGGAGGGAGTAGAGATACACTGGAGCTGGAGGGATTGGACAATGGATGAGGCGAAAGAATGCACAACCAGAATCCAAGACATGCAGAGACTACAAGAATCTTGGTGTGGATTTGACGACGAAATGGAAAAAGATGCCGCCTGTCCCAAATGGGGTAATTTTCCCCTCGGGGAACATTGCCGCTTCTTTCTCCCTGTTCTCTTCTTTGGGATCCCCGAATTCTGTTCCGGTGATTTCTCTTTCTACTTCTGTTTCTGCATCTGCGTCTGGATCTGCTTTCTTGCTCGGGTTGCTGCTTCTTCTCGTGCCTCGTGTCCTTGCGCCGCCCCTGCTACCTCCACTGTGTCGGTCATTGGCGCCAATTCACTCACTCATCGGAAATCATGGTGTCATGGCCTCTCATGGATCGATTTATAGATCCAGCAGCTGCTCTTTCTTCTTCTACTGATCTTCCGACTACAGAGTGACTGATTGACTGACGGGCTGGCTGGTTCTGCTCAGTGCACCTCATCCTCATCCTCATCATTATGACCTCCCCTCTGCCTCCATGGCAGCTATCGCCAGCCCTCTGGCAGGAGCTGACCAAAGCCCTCACCCCCACTGGAGTTGCCGACTATGCCGCCCTGACTCTCCTCGCCATGGCGGGCACAACCTACCTGTCACGCGGCATCCTTTGGGACCAACCAGATCCCTATAACTATCTCTGGTATGAGCGTCCCCAGCTGAAGATGGCCGGTTCCGCCGGTCCCAATGCCCACCAAGAGACCCGCAACATTGCCCAGAAGCTCGAAGAGGCGGACAAGAATATCGTCGTCTTCTGGGGATCACAGTCCGGTACATCCGAGGGCTTTGCCCATCGATTGGCGCGCGAGATCGCCCTCCGCTTCCGCCAGGGTACTCTGACGGCTGATCTATCGGATTATGATCCGGAGAGTATCGCCCAGATTCCTCAGTCCAAGTTGGCGATCTTTATCCTGTCTACGTATGGCGAGGGAGATCCCAGTGATAACACGGCTGAGTTCTGGGACTGGATTCACAAGGCCGAGAATGTCTCTTTGGCCAATGTGAGGTATTGTGCGTTTGGTCTGGGGAATAGCAATTACAAGTTCTACAACCGTGTCGTGGATGTGGTCGTTCAGGCGCTGGATGGTCGAGGCGCAAAGGCTCTCATGCCCGTTGGTAGGGCTAATGACGCCGAGGGCGCCACGCAGGAGGACTTTATTAGCTGGAAAGACGAGCTGTTTGCCATGTTCAAGTCCCAGCTCGGCTTCGAGGAGGGTGAGATGGAGTACCTGCCCACCCTATCCGTCGAGGAAGATGAGTCCCTGGAGCCTATTGATCTGAACCACGGCGAGCCAGATGCCCGTGATGCTAGTAGGGCATCTGCACAATGCTCCCCTGTGCGGCCAGTGACTATCTCCAGTACTCGTGAGCTCTTCCAGGTCTCAGACCGCCACTGCTTGCACATGGAGATGGACCTGTCCAGCGTCCCCGAGTTCACCTACAAGACGGGTGATCACCTCGCCATCTGGCCCAGCAACCCCGACGCAGATGTCGAGCGTCTCCTCCAGGTGTTGGGCCGTACTGCACGCCGCGAGGTGCCCATCTCCATCAAATCTCTGGACCCGGCCACGAAAGTGCGCATCCCAACGCCCACGACCGCGGCAGCCCTCTTCCGCTACTACCTGGAGATCTGTGCTCCCGTGAACCGCGACACGGTACTCGGTCTAGCACAATTCGCACCCACCCCGGAAGCAAAGACATACCTCCTTCAACTAGGCCAGGACAAGACCAGCTACGCCAACTTCCTCAACTGCACCCATGTCACCCTCAGTCGTCTCCTCCAACTCGCCTCCCCAGACAATGCCTGGTCCGCCCTACCCCTATCCTACCTGGTCGAAACCCTCGCCCCCATCCAACCTCGATACTACTCCATCTCCTCCAGCAGCGTGCTCTCGCCCCGCAAACCTTCCATCACCGCCATCGTCTCCACCACGCCAGTCCCCGAGAACCCGGACGAACTCATCCACGGCATCACCTCCAACTACCTCCTCGCATTATCCCAGCACCGCTCATCCCCATCCACCACCCACCCTTACGGCCTTACCTACCACCTCAACGGGCCCAGTAATGCCCTCAACAGCGAGAAGGTCTTCGCCCACCTCCGCAAAAGTAAATTCAAGCTGCCCCGCACCGGAAACACACCCCTCATCATGATCGCCGCGGGCACGGGCCTGGCCCCGTTCCGAGCATTCATCTCCGAGCGCCGCCAGTTGCAGCAGATCGGCCGCGAAGTGGGACAGATGATCCTCTTCTTCGGGTGTCGGCGCCCGGACGAGGATTATATCTATAAGGAGGAGCTGGATGCGTTGCAGGAGGGGCTGGGAGGGAAGTTGCGCATTGAGACGGCGTTTTCGAGGTATGAGAACGAGGGAGTGAAGAGGCAGTATGTACAGGATAAGATTGTCGAGTGTGGGGATGAGGTGGTTAGATTGTTGGTGGAGGAAAGGGCGAACTTGTATATTTGTGGAAGGGCGGGGATGGCTAGAGAGGTTGAGAAGAGGGTTGGGGGGGAGATGTGTAGGGTGAAGGGGTGGGATGAAGGTGATGGACAGTGGAACGAGTGGTGTAAGGGGTTGAAGAAGAGGGGGAAGTGGCAGGAGGATGTTTGGGGTTAGAATCTTCTTCTTGTTCTTTTCTTGATGATCAGTTCCATGAACAAGTTCTGTTGATTTATGTGTCGGAGTTTCATGAGATATATCCATCTATCGAGTTCATATCATATACATCCAGCTTCATCCGCCTTTTTCTTCTTTCATTCACCCAGTCCTTATACATACATACACGCATTTCAGTCATCCATACAAACCCAACCCAATTCAATTCAATCCAATCCAACCAGAAACCTAATTTAATCCCAATTGCCCAATCCTAGTCTAGTCCAGAGCAAGCAAAAAAGCATCTTCCAGAAGGCTAAACCCAATGCACACATCATACATACATACCAACCAAGCAATCCGAACCCAATGATAATAAACATAGACAAGTAACCAGGGACAGGCGAACTACTTCCTCGCCTGAGCGAAAATCACCTGCCACAGACCCAACCACTGCTGCTGTTTATACGACGGCACGCGATGCGGCTCACGGAACGTATTCTGTAGGATCTCGCGCAGTCTCGCGCTCAGCGTCTTCAGCGCGAGCATGGATTTCCAATCTCGCAGGGAGAATCGGATGCGATTGGAGTCGATGGATATGACTCCGGAGTACATCTATAGATTCATATCATTAGCATTGATCATAGGTGGGAGGGTAGTGGTGTATGTGTAAGGGGGAAAGGAGGCAGCGTACTTTAAACTCAGCCTCTCCGCACAACAACGCAATAGCAAAGTCATCCACAGCAGTTGTTTCAAACGCATTATAGTTCTTATTCCGTCCCTGCATGATATGGTAATAGGACACCCATTTTATGGCCGATGCGTCGGCTTGCTTGTTCACGGAGGTCGGGTGCAGCGTGACGGATTGATTGTTGGCGACGTTGCGCCAGCCTTTCCCGTCGCGGGTGAGCAGTTTCGGGTAGAAACTCCAAGCGATGACGGAGTTGACGACTGTGTCGTTGGCGCTGTTGAAGTCGTATTCTTCGGGGATGGTGAAGAAGTTGCGCCGGTTGTTGGATCGGGAGCTTTATTTTTGAGACTTGTTAGTAGTAGTTTTGGTAGGGAGGAGGGGAGGAGGGTGTACCGGTTGAGTAGCGCTTTCTGGGATGGGTCCAAGGTTAATAGACCTGTGTCAGCGATCGATACGATCAGCTGCATTTTAATGTCCTCGATATTGAGCAGTGTTTGCGAGCTGAGGAAGTTCTTGCGGCAAAAGGCGTACTCGCTCACGCCTGGAGTGTTGCGGGCACGCTTCCACGCGCAATAGGCGTTGTATACCGTTAGCAGATCCGAATCACCTATATATTGTTAGTGGCAAGTAATCACTGTGATGGAAAGTACCCACCCTTGCGGAAAGATAGTCGAGCCAGGTCCTTCTGTGTGTTGGAGCCCATCGTGTTCACGAATGGCGACTTGGAGGACAGGATGGCGGCGATGCTGACGGCCGCATCCAAACAGCGGAAGAAGGCGCCGTGGATAATTAACTTGCCAAGGAAAACGTCCAGCGGCAACTTGGCCAGCTGCAGACCCAGAGGCGTTAGATTCTCTGCGTTCGTCAGGGCTTTCACCTCCTTCAGCGAGTCGATCGCCCGGCGGATGTTCTTGGACGACGGCGGATCGAGCGCCTCCAGCAGCGTCGGTTCTACTTCACCCAGTTTGCAGATCTTGACACGCAGCACAAGATCTTGGAGAGACAACCGGAGCATCTCAGGCGTCTGCTGTTCTGCGAGCTACAACTGGTCAGTATTGAATGCTGCAGCCATGGTTGCTACACATACCAGCTTATCGTGGCGATGCTTCGTAAACAGGTGGAAGCAGATACCATTCTGCACACGTCCGGCTCGTCCACGTCGTTGCTTCGCATTGGCGCGCGAAATAAATGTCTCGACGAGCCTAGATAGCTGACGACGTTCATCGAACCTGGGCAAAGTTAGCTAGTTTATTACTCAGCCAGGGCCTCTCTTTCTAACCTCATGCTCTTTTCTTTGCCCGCATCAATCACCGCAGTGATATCCGGGATGGTGATACCTGTCTCTGCGATATTGGTGGCAATAACAATCTTTCTCATACCTTCAGGAGGAACCACGAAAGCTTTCTCCTGATCTTCGCTGGCGATAGATGAGTGCAGCGCATGCACAATCCATCCCTGCTGGAAAGTCGGATCCGACAGGATCTCATCGTTTAGTCGGCGAATCTCCGCCATACCGGGCATGAAGATAAGGATGGCTTTGCTGTAGTGTGTCATGTCAGGCGACGAGGCGATCTGCACAACCAGCCGCTTGATCAGCTGGTAATCCAGGCGATATTCGTCAAAGTTTGCCACGGTCTCTTTGGTTTGCTTAGAATATCCATCAAGCGAAGCCATCAGGCCGCCGGCAGTGTCACCCTGTGCCGTCTCCAGCGCCAATTCATCCGTCTCCTCTTCGACCGTATTGGATTCATTCTCCAGCAACCGGTAGTTGGTCATTTCGATCGCATCCTCTAGGAACTTCATCTCCACAGGGAAAGTCCGACCGGGGATGTTCAGTACAGGAACACCGCCAAGATAAGTGGAGAAGCGCTGGGCCTCGAGTGTGGCCGACATGAGGATTAGCTTCAGGTCGGGCCTCTTTTGCATCAACCGCCTAAGAACGATGAGGAGGAAGTCGCTATCAATCGAACGTTCGTGGACCTCATCGAGAACGACATGGGTGATATCGCGGAAATCTTCAGGGCGCTCAAGCATTCGCACTACCACTCCGGTAGTCCTGCCAGGGTCAGCTGGTTCTCAAATTCACAGAGGCAAGAACATACGCGAACACAAGTCTCGTAGCTTGGCTGACTTTGCTTTCCAGTCGGACAGCAAAGCCAATGAGTGAGCGCGCCGTTCCCACATCGTTCTTATTCTCGCCTAGTTCTTCGCTCACTCTTCGGGCAAGGGAGATAGCGGAGATCCTGCGAGGCTCGGTCACGTAGATCTTGCACGGTCGGCCTTGCTTCATTTCATGCTCCAAGATAAACGAAGGTATCTGCGTACTTTTACCGCTTCCTGTTTCACTGCAGATGATAAGTGCACGATGTGTGTCAAGAGTATTGAGAATCTCGTCGCGGAAATTCCAGATGGGCAGGTTCATCCTTCCCTGAGCCATGTATTGGAATGAGGCCGTAGACGACTTTTCTGTCCAGATCCGAGTCAACTCCTCGTCAGGCTCAGAGCTGTCCTTTACGCTGGCTCCCCGTACCGGAGATTCCGGCTTGCTAGAAGTTCCGTTTCGCTTCCGGAAATTATGTGACAAGACAACATCATCTTCAAACGCCCCATGGTTGTCCTGAATAAGTTTCTTCAGATCCTTGACGGTCTGCTTGTCAGCTTCGTCTTCCTGCAACTTCTTCGCATTCGCAAACTCTGTCCAAAGCTCTCGCCACACCGCTGGAAGGCGCAGGTATGCTTTGCCTTCTTTGGAGTTCTGTGAGAATAGGATGAAAAGAGCAAGAGTCGAAACGAAGGATTCCGCTTGCTGGGAGTTTGGAGTTGCCACCGAGTCCATCGAGACGAATGTCGCGTAAGCGTTCGAGTTATGCGTGGTAGTGTCCCAGGCAAAAGGGAAGGGAACCTCCTGAGGTTTGGACCATCTTACTTCAAGAGCTTGTCTATTCGAATGCGACGAAGCAGACATATCCTTGAACGTGATCTTGCAACCCGTATCCCTGCCCAGATGACTTAGTCGCCGTTCATCTCCAGCTCCTCTGCGAGACATACCTTGCTTTGCATGTTTCTTCTAGCACTCGTCGGGGGCTAAGTCCAGTCCATTTCCCGAAATCGCGCATCTTAACAGAAGCCTTTTGTAACTCTTCTGTTATCACACCGAGCTCCAGGACAGGCTCCTCATCTTGGAACATGTCCCCTAACAAATCCGTAGCCTCTTCATTGTCAAGAGGCTGTGCGCCGTTCTCCGGTGTCACTTTCGTTTCCTCCGATTGCTCTGCATCTTCAGCTTCTTCTGAAACAGGCTTCTCTTCGGGCTGTGAGCGCCGGACAAAAGCCGCCTCTTTGCGCAGATCGTCGAGTTTCTCTCTCCACTTGTATTCGGCCTCATGCTGGTCAAACAGCACATCATTTTCAATGCTGGTAATTTTGCGTTGCAACCTCGCAATCTGAGGGTCTTGCTCGGCTTCAGCAGGCTTACGGCCTCCCTTCTTGCCCTTCTTGGGTTGGTCGAACAGCTCCGGTCGCAGGCCATACAGACGAGTCTGCAAGTCCAGATACTTTGGGATGAGTGTGTCAGGGTCAAGGGAGCTGTCCGAGTCGTAGGGACTCGACTGAAGGGTAGGGCTCGGCTCCTTTACAGGGCTTTTGGGTTTTTTCACTTTGCTATTATCTGGGCCCAGATTCGGGGTGGAGGATTGTGATGGCTCACGATCTGATGTCAGTCAGGTTAGCCATCCAATCCTTACGGGATACCAGGCATCTAAGATTACCATTTATCCAAGAGATATGTCTATCCAACTCATTGCGCTGCTGCGCATTTGTCTGCATGTAAGAAGGCAACTCCTTGGGGGTGCAATGCAAGGCGAGCCAGTCTAGGGCCTCATCCAGGTTGCAAACCACCTCCCTATTGGATGTGGCAAAATTACCAGAAAAGTAGAGAAGCATATGCTTCAGAGCCTCGTTTACTTTCTCCTCCGGGAAGCCGAGTTTAAGCAGGGTTTCCTTCAATGTCCAGAGTCTCATATATAGTTCCTCCTCCGAGACAGTTTTCTTCTGGCCTCCCGAATCCCGTCCAGGTAGCGGGCTGAGCTCTCGCTCCTCCGTTTCGACCAGGTGCATGATATTCTGCAGAACCTCAGTGGGGAACCACTCCAGCAGGTTTATAGAGACAGCTTGTTGCCGGAATACTCTGCGTTCGGTCTCCAATTTGGTGACTTGCCGGGCGGCATCATTTCTGCACTTGGAAGCATATTTCTCAACCAAGAGCTGAAGTTCAGCTTCCTCCAAGTGTTTCTCGAGTTCCTCGGGAGTATAGTTCTGTAATGAGGGGGCTTCGTTTTTGGAGTCTACTGCAGGTTGCTTTCCCTCGACGGGCGTTGGACGATCGCTTTCGGATACGGACACGGACTTTGAGTCTGCTGTGGAGACTGGGGTTGAGGATTCAGTAGGCTTGGGCTTAGATGGCACGGAAACCGTGGCAAATCCTCGAGCGGGATTGGAGGCGGGCTTCTTCTTTTTCCTGTTGTTAGGTGGCATGGTGGTGAGATCGAAGGAGGGGAAGGCGGGCTGCAAGGTTTCCCGCCGGGGCGGACAAGGAGAAGTCTCTAACGATAGAAAGTGAGAAAGGCGATGTCTATGATCATTAGTGAAATCTTCGGGGAAAGAGTGAGCAAAACGGAAAGAGTTGAGTTAAGTTGATGATGGAAGAAATTGGCGAGATACTTCGTCATGGAGGAGAGGACTGGCGGGTCCTCCAAAGACAAGACTCCCAGCAAGAAGGCAAGGCGGCGGAGCTTCCCCCACAACGCCGCAAAACTTTTATGACAACATCCGCGGCCCCATTCGTGCCCATTGCTCCTCACGCCGGGCATGCTTCAGGCCACCTAGACTATCATGGACGATTTTCCATGGGATCAGGTGGAATCAGGGGACCTGGGGAGTCTGCAGGTCGTTCTCTTCTCCAGTTCGACTGCTCGCAGAACTCGCGCTCTCCAGGACCTCCGTGACAGAATCGGTGCGTGAAGAATCTCTGCCTGTCCAAAGCCCCTCTCTCTCTGTGCTGCCTCTCACTTCCAAATGTGATACTCTCGTGCTCTTGTGCTCACCATCTATCCACCAAACAGGATCTAGCTTACAACCTCAAACCTACCAGCCTATAATTGGCCTTCTCTTTAAGACTTACCCTCGCTACGTCGATCGTCCCTCGCGGCAGGCCGTTCAGCAATGTCTCCGCTCGCTTCTCAAGGCACCCGTCCCGACCGACGACCTGAAATACCTCACCCAGAAATTGCAGGTTGAGGCTGCTAAACCTGGCCTGGCGCCTGGTCCAGCCCTTGTATTGTTGGAATGGTGCTCGGTGGTGCTTCAGATCCTGGGAGGAGACCCCGAGACGCCTCTGTCTGCCGTTCTGGATACCATTGCGGTCGATGCAAAGGCCCTGGAAATCTGTCTGGCCTCCAACCCGAGACCAGCAGTGAAGGCTTCTGCCCTCCGGGTTACGAGACGTGCTCTACGCGCTGCATTTTCCTCCACTGCTTGGGGTGAGGATGCTGTTCGTGAATCCGTCCGCCGGTTGACCAGCGACTCGGCTACTGGCCAGAAGAACGC